CAAGTGACCTTCACTAATCAAAAGATCAGTTTCTCTTTGTCTGTAGTCCAGCTATTTTAAGCACTTATTTCACATTGCTATTTAATACCACATCCATTACAATAATGCAACTGAACTGCAATTTGTTAATTGTAAAGTGAAAAACTGTACGGTCTACTGTATTTCACCCCACATTGCATGTCTTGAGAACAAGAAACACTGAAAATTTTTAAAGCTGGTAACCAGAAAAGTGTAGTATCTGAGCTCCACCTACAGGATGAAAAGAAATGTAGAAGAAGTATATCTAATTAAGAGACTAGAAAAGGACTATTTACTCGCATGTTGTCAGATGGTTATTTCAAGTCACTGCCATTTTACAAACCCAATGTGATGCTGAGAAATTTGATTACTTATGCAATGATGGCAAACATTTCTATCTCTAAACATTCCTKCATGTAAACGGCTGTTCTACAGCATGAAGTTTATGTTTAAGCTTTCTAATTAAAAAAAAAAACACCTAAGAATTTTTCTAACAACTAGCCAGAATCAGCGGGAAACTCCTTTTCCTAAGTTTTCTTATCTAATACAGAGTTTTAAACTGTAGAAAACTATTTTTAGAACATATGTAAGAAGTTAGAATGAATGAAACTGAAATGACTAAGATGAACTTCACCATCTGAGAGCTTCAAGTATGCATTTAGAAGGGGTATTGGATCTCAATACCATGAATTTGAGAAGGTGTCTATTGTTTCCATACAGTTTCTGTGAAATAGATGTGCAACCTTTAGACCTCACAAATACATTTGGATTAAAAGAAACAGGACTGATACAAATGAATGCAGTTTTGCAGAAAAAGTTATACATATTAAAGACAGTACTCTGAAATAAATATGCTTTGAAGTTCAGTTATTCTACTAGCACATTGACGTATCTGATTAGATGAATTTTGATAGATATCAGAAGTTTCTTCACCCTCTGACATGTTAGTAGGCATTACCCTCAAGCTATGCATGGTCCATCCAATTTTTTGTTTGATATTTACACTTCCCACATCTCTGCCTCTGATCAACACAGGCTAGTGGGTGGTGAAGACCCAYGAGTCTACTATCAAACTTCTCCAGTACACTTAGAGAATAGTTACTATTTCAGACAATGAAACTTGATCTTGTTTATCTTACTTTATCTAAACAGACCTCAAATGTAAGAACATGTTATTTATAACAAACARTATAATGCCTTTGATTTTCACACAAGAGGGTGCCAGACAACTATCTGGAAAACAGTAAGATTAGAAATTTATGTTGTGTAACTAAACAGTATCTCCCAAGGCTATGGCTCCCAAATGCTAACAATGCATCCAATAAAACTTTCTTCTGAGTTAAGATAACCCATTTGGCTATAATACTAATATTACTGCCTCCCTGAAAGAGCAGAATAACCACAAACAGAGCACACTGACCGACCACATGCAGAGCCAGCAGCTTACAGACTGACTACACAAATGCCTCTGAAAATGAGCTAAAACATGATGCAAGTTTGCACTCATTCCTAAGGGCATCCTCTAGCTTTGTGCTCTCTTCATGCTACAAACTCACTATTACCCTTCAGGCAAATTTTTTTTCAGCAGCCATTTTCTATAAAACCCCAGGGACAATTAAACAGATTGGTGAACAGGTGGTTGGACAGGTAAGGTAGGTAGTAAATACGTATAGATTCCAAAGCTTTTTGCTATTCTAAAGAAGTTATTTGGCTGCCATATACTTCAACCTTCTTTTTCAGAAAGAGCTCTTCTTGGAGACCTTTCACATTTCTGAATCCTTGTCTCCACTACCGGATATGGCTATTTAATGCTAAACTGTATTTGTTCAGCCTCCACAACCAAGAACAATCCATTGACTCTGAGAAGCTAAAACTTCAATCTCAGCCATATGACTAGTAACCAGATTTTGGGATCATGCTCACTGATCTCAGTATACTGATCTCAGCAGATAGTACAGCCATCAAGTCATAAAGCAACACACAGCACAAGTTCAAAGACGACAGAAAGAAAAGTCAAGGGATCTGTTTTACAAGATATCTTATGCATATTCTTTCAAAAAAATACCTAGTTATATTTAGCACAGCCATAAAATCATGCTACTGTATTTCACATATTGCAATTTACATGCTCTTACAGTGAAAAAGAACGCTGAAATAAAGGAAAATCAATGCTCAAGAATGAGTTTTATGCAGATGTACATAACTCTGCTGGTTTCAGCTGGGGTAGAGTGAATTTTCTTTATAGTATCTAGCATGTGGCTGTGTTTTAGGCTTGTGCAGAGCAGAATTGGTAACACAGAAATACTTTTTCTTATTGCTGAACAGGGTTTACACAGAGCCAAGGCCTTTCCTGCTTTTGGTACTGCCACACTGGCAGGAAAAATGGAATGCCTGTGAGGCTGGGAGGAGACACAGCCAGAACAGGTGACCCTAACTGACCAAAGAGATATTTCAGACCATATGACATCATGCTCACTATATAAAGTTAAGGGAAGAAGGAGGAAGGGGGGGACATTTGGAGTGATGGTGTTTTGTCTTCCCAGGACCCCATCACATGTGATGGAGCCCTGCTCTCCTGGAAATGGCTGAACACTTCCCTGCCCACAGGAAGCAGTGAATTAATTCCTTGCTTTGCTAGCATGTGCAGCTTTTGCTTTCCCTGTTGAACTGTCTTTATCTCAGCTGAGTTCTCTGTCTTCTACCCTTCTGATTCTCTCCCATATGCTGCTGGTGGGGACATTAAGAGTGTGGCTGTGTGGAGCTTGGTGGCTGGCTGGGGTTAAACCACAACACTTGACTYCACAAAGGAATTAGATTTATGTATAGTTAAAAAAAAATGGAGTAACATCAGTTTACAGATCTGACCACACTAAACTTGTTGACAGCATGAAATCTGACAAATCATGGAAGTTAGTTACCTAGTCTCAAACTAGAAGTAAATCATATGACAGGAAAAATTAATTCCCATTTAAATTATAGACATTTTTTACAGTAACTTTATTTTTGTTATTGTGCTGGGTCTTTGATGTCAAATGTTCTTATGTAACTCTGGCTGTTAAGTGTACTGAGTCCTCTCTTCAGAAAACACAAAATTATAAGGAACTTTACAAGTAACATCTTCCAGGCCTGAGAAAGAACTGACTGGAACCAATCCAGACTTGCTCAAAATGCAAAGGCTTCCCTACTGTACCTGGTGTGATTCTTATCTTCAAATCAATAGTAAAGAAGATGTTGAAAAGGACACTGAATGTCCTCCTTAAATCTAGAGCTCTTCAAATTTATTAAACTGGTTAACACACATTGCATTCTCAGCAATGTGTTCACTGGGCTTTTCACTGCTCTGAGAAAGGCAGACAAACAGCAATGCTGTTGTAGTAGGCATATTTTAATTTATCACTAGTAAAAGATTATCCAAAATAATGCAAGTGTTTCTACTGCTCTAAAATTGTGGCCTGCTTCTAAACATAACAATAACACAGAGTTAAAAAACCTACCTAACATGGAATGGTCAAAATTTCCTAATCTATTTTAAAACCACATAGAATTCTTTCAGTAAAAACAGTTATACTGACAGGTATAGTCACAAACATCAGGATGTAAATTCTGTTTTCTCTCAGTAATAACAAGTTTTGTTTTACAACTAAGATCATGACTGAACACTCACCATAACTGACAAAAGCCCTTTTTTCAATAAAACGCATGACTGATTTTATTTTTAGCAGTTATATACAGTCATATAAAACCATGAAAACCTGCAAGAGGTGGGAGTCAGATACATGAGTTTCCAAAGACTCTAAACCAACTGATTTTGTTTCAGCTATTCCTTCTGTTTTCTATCTTTCAATATGTTTTATCTCAAAGACTATTATTAAAACAAATTTATCTTCACATAAAGATCCAAAGCCTTTACTTCTCACTGATATATTTCAGGGATATAATAGGTATGGAACTGGCATACCAGGTATTCTTATGTCACAAACAAAGACAAAATCTAGACTGTTCTAGATTCTTCTGTGTCAGCATCATGCCTTGGCCATTACCTACAACATCTTACCTGCCACGAGAATAAATGGGAAAAAAATCCATTTAAAACAAATCCAATTGAATGAAACAGGAAAACAAGGAAAATGAACAGGGAAAGAAACCAGAATAGGAAAAAAACTGGAATGGTTCCCTTCAGAGAAAATTGTTATGTGAGAGAAACCAAAACAGCCACTACAAATGCAGATTTTGGGCAAGGCCTCAATAATTTAATCAGTCAGTTATCTATGACAGTTGTGTAAAGTTAAGAGTACAAAATCTGAATCAGCTTTCTGATGTTTCTTCCTCCAAGGCCCTCACCAAATTTCAGTGAATAAGTAAACTTACACATTTATAACCTTTCAGATGCGAAGAATTAATTCTTCAGTAACTTCTGGAGTTTGTATTTACTGAAATACTGAATAATAATTCCTAGTAAGTTCTACATCAGACCCACTACTCATCACTTGCATACATGATGAGCGTTCTTATGCAATATGAATATTATCCCCAAGTTCATGCTGCAAGAAAAACTGTCAAGACACAAGGTTCCAAGAAAAAAAATAAACTCACTGAAAATTGAGTGCTAATCAGTACAGATCACAAATTGCAGAATATTCTGAGTTGGAAGGGATGTTCACAACTGAGCAGAAACACAAAGTTAAGTGTGACAAACACATATAAGAACACTTAATTTTGAACTCACAGGGAAAAATAAAAATCCCATACAAAGTATCAACAAGTGATGAATGTAACAGAATGTAAGTTAACTTTGCCATTTAAACTGACAGACAAAATGAAGAAATTAGAAAGAATGAAACCAAGAGGCAATCTTACCTTCCACAGCGGCAGGTGGGCAGAAGGAAGAATTTTTAATATACACTCACCTATCAATGCTGTAACTGCAAAACYGGAATTGAGCAGAATATCTTGGAACTGAAATAAAACAAACCAATCCTTACCTGCGACTAGTTGTTTTCCTTTCTGTCTTAGTTTCTTCCTCTTGAAGTTGATGTTTAGCATTTTCACTAGTATCAAGTTTCAATTTCTTGGCAATGCGTTCCTTTATTTGAGATCTCTCAATACTAGCAACTTCATCTTCTACACTATCAGCATCTTCATCATGTTCTTCGTCCTTTATTGATTTAAAATTATAAAACTCCTTTAGTTTTTTTAGTACAAAATGTCGAATATGGGAATGTTTTYCTGATAAATATCATCTCTTCCAAGAAAAAAGATGAATATTTCATTTCAAAGCAATGTATAAGTAGATACTTATGTATAAGTAAATACAATGTATAAGTTTAAGTAGATACAATGTATAAGTAAAAGTAGATACTTTTCCAACAAGTATCAACTTATTTGCTTTAGAGGGAACAAAAAATACAAATATGATAATTCTTTTTAATACACAAATTACTTATTTTCTGTAGGGTTAAAAAAATTATAACAGTCTATTCTAAAAAAAGTTTAAAAATTCTATTCTAGACTATTAACTCTTATAGGTCTACAAAACATCACAGCAGTGTGATATTACTCTGATAATGATCACAAATCCAAATTTTGTTAAGACAATAAACTAACTTTTCAATTATTTTYCACTGAAAGTAAAATTTAAGAATTTCCTGCCACATGGCTATATTACAGTCATGATGGGATGGAAGAGGTTAGCCCATCAGCCCCTGTTAAGGAATTTACCAATTCTRAACTGATCATAACAGTCTGTGAAAACCTGTGGACTCAATCACCCCAACTTGTTCTGGAGGTCCGTGGAGAGGCCACACGCCACCAGGCCTGGCAGAGGTAGGCAAAAGGGCATAAACCACCTCGGATCACAGACATTTGAAGGGAGAATGAAGAAGTGGCCTGACTAGATTAAGCGATCTAAGTTTGACTGCTTCCTTCCTTGATGAAATAGGTCTGCATGAATCTTAACTGAAGAATGCCAGATYGAAGATGACATGGTACATCTTTTATGTTTACTTTGGTGTGATGCTAATAAGCAAATGAACAGTGTAAGATGCCACATGATTCTAATTTTAGCCAAAGAAAGAAAGGACACTTAGAAATAATAATCCAGAGGACTTTACTGTATTCAGTGACTCCCAGGATGTAAGCACTTGGGAGGGAAGACCATGTAAATGTCCCGGGTGTGATACAACAGATAGGAGGAAGAGTAATATGAAGGCCATGTCCATAAACATAGAGGGGGAGAGGACAGAAATGTAAAAGCAGCAAGAGACAAAAATTTGGAACAGAAGAGAAAAATCAAGAACTGGATTTCAAAAGTTGTAGTGGAGTCACTGTTTAGGAAGCTTCAGACTACCATGCTTAGACCTGAGATTTAGAGAAGAGAAGAGAAGACCAGTGAGGAATAAAAATAGAAATCTCTGAATATTCAGCACAGCAAAATAGCTGAATGTTTTACAATGAAAAGACTCAAAGGTTATTGGTGGGAGTTCTGTTGTTTTACAACAGAGGAAAAGTGGAACAGGATCAGCATTTCCCTTAATTACCAGAAAGGTATTGTTTGACAGAGGAGATAATGAAACTTTCCGAGGGCTTTGCTTACATGACAAATTGTCAGAGAGATGGGTGACTACAGAACTGGATGGCAGAGGGCTGTCCAAAACAGAAAGTACAGAATTGTGTTCACAGTGTTTAACAGTCAAGGATAAAGACAATCTGGTAGAGATTTGTCTAGGGCTTTGGTAAGAGCATTTCACTGAAACACAAGGAGYTGGACAGGAGAATATTCCATTCTGGAATAAAAACGGACCACTGTAGACAAATTGCAATTCCTAAGTAGTAGGCTAGTTAAAAATTACAGAAATCTGAGTAACAGGAGGGGGGTTATAATAGAAGGGACAAAATGGATCAAGTCCCACTTGGCAAAATCCCCTACTTCCCWAATTGTCCACTACTCTCAGTTTGCACAGTATTTCACTATTTTTCTTCTAGAAAAACACTGATAAAATAGGCTATATTTCCTTCCTTCTCAACCTCTTTCCCTCCTGCAGCTCTGATTTTTTCTCCTGCCCAGGCTCCTCCCTCAGTCCCACTTGTCTCTAATTAAGTTCATCTRATCTCAACAAACAGATTTAACAACAGATTCAACAACCCAGACTGAACTAGATGGCATCTCAAAAGGGAAGTGGCTGTTTTGTTGGCTGATGGCTGTTCCCCATATGGCACAGAAATGCAAAACTGCTTGCCTGAAAGCTGTATTACTTCTTGCTGCTGTTATTAGCTGGGTAGATTTGCCCTATTCTTCTCTTTAATAGGGAAATAAAAATATGAGATATTTTGTGACAGAATGACTAATGGCTACTGTATGTAATATGATTTTCCCATTTAAGATTATTGAATTGAGGGGTGGGTATCTAATTTGATTTATAGAAACTTAAAGTATGACTTTGAAGACTGCAGTAAGAGAAACAGGATGATATTTCACAGCATGAAGAGCAAGGCCAGGTGCTTACAGAATACTAATAAGAGTTTCTCTTACATGTTATGGTCTTGTTAGTTGGGGGACATAGGGAGATCTGGAAGAATTATCTGCTCCCACAATTGGCGATAAAACTACCAACATGTTGCAACTGTGTAAATGCAAAAGYGATCCTGTGACACGTTAACTAAAATAACTCCAAGACAGATTATAAAATACTAATACCACTTTGCAAGACTCAGATAACTGCCTGAAACACTAGATCTTAGCTAAAATCATTCAGTGAAATTAAATCTTTAAGAGAACACCTCTCCAGGAAAAAAAAAATTAAATGCCTTCATATTTCAACTTTGCCTTAATTAGGTATACTTATTTAAATTTTTATTATTCAGCCTAATACACACATGTGCTAWATTCCCTGAATCCAGTTTGTTTAAGAAAGGGCTATTTGAACATCTGAAGAATTAATCATTAAATAGCATTCTTTACATTCTTCTACTATTAAAATGCTCCTACACAGCAGAAGAGAAGTGTCAAAAAACTTGAATTCATACTATGCCTTGTGAAAAAAGGAATAGGGTGTAAGCAGACGCCTTTTTTTTTTTAGGCACATGAATGGAACAGACTGCATTCTTCCTTCTTTCCAGCATGTCAACACACAGTGTAGTTAATACCTGAGCATGATGGATAGATACAGAAAACAGTATTTTCCAGGATTTAGTTAGGGGAATTGGAGATTACAYTCCTAGTCAGACATTACATCTTCATCTCAAGAGCAATTCAAAGGGGTACTCTCATGGTTCTACGGCTGTATATAGAGACATACTTCAGCTAACTAGCTYATGATGATCTGCACTATATATAACAATTTCCTTGTATTTAAATTCCCTCCATGTTTAATTGAATGTTACTGCTTGAATATTCAGATTTCATGTCTTTCAGAGATAACAGGCTTTGTCAATACAATTTAACTGCTACTATTTAACAATTCACTGAATTTTTGTTCTCTTGAACAAATCTTTCAAAAAGGACTTTCACATGCTGACTTACCCTAAAGCATTGCAATGACATAATTATTCATTATAAACTTAATTTTAACTACTCTCTTAGAAGCAGGTTCAGTCAGAGTTTTTATCATTCTGGTGGATTGTCACTCTGGGGTACACAACTCATATACCATAGTCCTGTATACCCAATCTCCTGACTGAAATACAGCACAAGAAGTTTTTATAAAGTGTAGCAGGTAGTATGCCAAACCTTAGAGCTCGGAGAAGGCCTTCAGGCTTTTGCTGGAAACGTGACTTGAGATAGTTTTCAAAGACCTCTAAGTAGCATTTGCTCCCCAAAGAAAATCTAGTCTGCGCACATTAAGAACCAAAAACTTCTTTGTAAAAAAATGATACTTACCTCACTCAAATCCTTTTCTTCATTTGCTGATTCACTAAAAGAAGAAACAAAATGTAACTACTCTGAAGTGCCAGAGGAGCTTCGAAATAATATTTAAAACCTACTATTTCTTAAATAAAAAAATTGATAGCCACCTGAAATTTTAGTCAGCTTACTACTTTATATCATCCTCACATTTATCTTAGAAGTATCAATTAATATTAATTTCTATCATTTGACTATCATAGTCTTTTCTAATTAGAAATATTTTAAAAGAAATACTTAAAAATAAATATTCTTTAAAAAGAGAAGACTTTCATGCAATGGAGAAATCCTAACTGTATCTTGAGCTATTCAAGCAAAACACTGATGTATATAGTTAAAACCACCAAAGCTCAGTTGAGATGATTCTYTCTGATCTCATTTATCAAACAATTATTAGCATTTCCTTGCAACTAGTTTATACTTTGGAAGATGCATTTTACTGATAATTAATCTTAATAAGATTTTAATTTGTTGTGCAGCTGCAGGTTGGTAAATTAAAGAATCTATTTGAATGTATTAAGTCTAACACATCCACGATTAATTATCACAAACTAATAACAAGGGCCCTTGAACCTCTTTAGTCCACAGCTTAAACATAGAAGTTATGTAAGAAATATTACAAAAGTAATAAAAAAGTAAGAAATATTAAAAAAGTACCAAAAGTTAAGGCTTTTAAGAGTGCTCTAGGCAATCAATAAGTAATCAAGATCATCAAAGAAACTCTGGACRTGTTGCAATCAATGTCATTAATTTAATAAAGTGCTGCACCCGTCAGGGCAACTACTGGGCAATGAATGGACTAAGAGCAGCCCTGCAAGGAGAAGCTGGGGGTGCTGGTGGATGAAAYGCTGCACACGAGTTGACCATGACACTCACAGCCCAGAGAGCCAAATGTGTCCTGGGCTGCATCCAGAGCAGCGTGGGCAGCAGGGCCAGGGAGGGGATTGTGCCCCTCTGCTCTGCTGAGACCCCACCTGCACCCAGGTCTGAGGTCCCTGCACAGAAAAGACAGAAACCTGATGGAGCGACTCCATAGGACAGCCATGAAGATGATCACCTGTCCAATGAGGAAAGGCAGGATTGTTCAACCTGGAGAAGATGAAAAGACTCCAGGGACACCCTACTGCAGCCTTTCCATACTTAAAGTGGTCTACAAGAAAGATGGGGACAGATTTTTTAGCAGGGCCTGTTACGAAAGGACATAATAATTATTTTACATTAGAGGTTAATGTTTTATAAAGATTAAATAAAGGTTTTAAATCAGAAGAGGGCAAATTCAAACTAGATATAAGGAGTGTGTTTTTTATGATGCGTGTTGTGAGACACTGGAGCAGGTTGCCCAAAGAGGTGGCAGATACAGCACTCCTGGAAATATTCAAGGCCAAGTTGGATGGGCCTCTGTGCAACTGGAACTGAAGATGTCCCTGCTCATTGCAGGGGGGCTGAATATGATACATTTTAATGGTTCCTTCCAAACCAAGCAAATTCTTGGAGTTAACATATTTTCATGKAATTTTCTCACCTTAATACTTAACTGTGGTGAAAATCAGAATTTATCAAGTATTAAAAAGCAACAGAGAAGAAAACCAACCTTATCCAAGCATACAGATCTATGCTTCACCTGATTTTTAGTGTGTTCTTCAGATTTGGAAAAAAAAATCTTTTTGAGTATAAGCAGGATTGGAGGGTTAGGAAAAGCAATTAGGATGTTCACAGCACAGAATGTCTTCTGCATGAAGGAAAYTTAAGTAACTTTAAAAGTTTAGGCTAGGAAAGTGATGGTCTAAAAAATGACTGTGGTGAAGAGAGGTATAAAAGGGACTGACCGCTCACTGTTCCAGAATAAGAGCTAGAATTTATGAAGTTCCACTAGTTCATCCAGGTTCAGAAAAAAAAAAGGAAGATACTTCATCCTGTAGTGGACAGGAGGGTGTGAATGGGAACAATATTATGAGAGACTTAATATATACTTTGAGGAGAGCTCTATTAAGGGTTATTAAATAGATGAATCACATCAAACTYTGACAGGCCTCTGAGGAGAAAGTTGATGGAGGATGGGAGACTATTCAAATAAACATTACGTTTGCCCTGCTTTTATTTTTTACTGAACATCCACTGATGGCCAGYGGTGGTGACAGCTTAATGAGTTAGAAAAATATCTGGTCTGATCCCACACTGGTGCTCTTAATTTTTTAATTAAATTAAATGGTAACATGAGCTACCATTTCTTAATTTTTTTAATATTTCTTAAGTAATGAGTTAATGCCTAAAACAGTACACATGATGATAATTGGTTTCAACATATTGATCTACTATTGAAAGTAGATCTGCTCTGGAACCTGGAAATCACRTATTAACCTTTTGACAGCAGGAACTGAGCTTAGATGTGGATCATCCTTCAGGAGATCATGACTGCTTTTACTTTTCCCCTTCATGCTCTGTCAAAGAAAAAGAAAAAAAGGTATTAAACATTTCAGTGTTTAAACGGCTACAATTGAAAAAGGATTATGGTAAGAAAAATGTAAATTGATTCTTGTTAGCTTTAGCTGATCCAGTAACAGTATTTTTAAGAGCAGAAGAACCCAGAAACTGCTCCAGAAAGAGAAGCATCAAACCAACTCCATGGATGTATTTTTGCAATAGCAATGCACTTAGTTTTAAAAGAGTGAGAAAAGAAACTGTTTAGTCATGACAATCATTACACATCATAAAGATGGCAGGTCTAGCACATACACACTTGAGTGAATGAAGAGATAAGAACTTGACTTTTCAATTTTGGCACATGACCACTTAGAGAACCACCAYGTACAAAACAGTACTTATTGACTGGAAAAGCACTAATTAGATCCCTCAGGAAAAAAAATTAATAAACTGCAATATATCAACCTAGAACACATCATTCAGGATTCATCTACTGACACAAGGAGTCAAATAAATCTAACAACACATCTGGTCTTCAGACAGAAGGACTGCAGTAAGAAAGCATTCCACACGTTAATCTAAAAAAAAAGTATACTTAAATTTCAGAGAGAAATCAGACTGAAAATCTCTGCTACAAAAACAGTCTGTACTGTGACCTGAATATCTCCACTGCAAATGAAATGCATAATGCTTTCAGGAAGACAGTAGATGTGTGGACAAAATCTTGCTAAGTTAAAAGCAACTGAATTTTTTTGTCGTGTAGAAAATAAAGACTAACACATTTAGCAACATGAAAAAAAAATTCCTTCCTTAAGGAAGGGGGTGGGGCCACTGGAGTGGTAGTGGGGCTGTCCAAGCAAGTASAGGCAGTAAGAAGTTTGCACACTGAAAGCTCCAGTTTAACCACTAATCAACAACCAGTGGAGGCCCTGCAGCCAGATCCCTGACTGCACCAACAGCCTTCATGGCCTTGAAGGGTTTTACCCATGGCTTCTCCACCCTTCTTAAACAAGCAACACMTACAGCATCTAGCAAACGAAAAAAGCTTCTAGGATTTAAGTTTGTAGTGTCAACGGATCTCATTAATAACTTCAACCTTCCATTTTTCTTACAAAAAAYAGAGAATGAAAGTTAGTGCTGATGTTCATGTACTTCAACTTGATCAGGATTAAGATAACGTCCAACATTGACACTGACGTAGACCAATTATAAAAAAGCAATGAGATTTCAAAAAAAATAGTTTTGTTGCAAAGAATGAAMTTGTCATAAAGAATTGATGTAGTTATTCATTGAGCTTCAGCTAGTCCAGATTTTAGTCAGGACAAATAGGCAGATGAGATTTTGAGGCTGAGTTGARTGACAGCATGAAAACACTGAAACTAGGCTAATCATGAAAGAGGCATTCTATTCAGATAAATTTAAATTGAAAAGCAAGTGTTTGGCAAGAAAAGGAAGTCCAAGCAACTGAGTTAAATGCAGTATTTCAAGTCAGATATACAGCAAGAGCAAAATGGCAGATGAGCATATTATGGTAAATAAGTAAGCTCTGTCTGACTGGTAAGTTGAAAAGAAGAAAGTAAAGTAGTTAAAACTGCTGCTGTAATAAATATCTATTATCGTTCTGACTGACATAATCTCACTATAATATTGTCCATCATTATTCACTGTTTTCCTTTTCTATTTTAACGAACTTCTAAGCATTGACAACCCTTTTTTCACTTATATGGTACAGGATGCAGGACCATGTCTGATTACTAACTGAAGCAGGAAGGTACTGTAAAAGCCTAGGGGTCTAGTGAAACAATTCGGTCAGCAGTAGAAAGGAGATCAACAATTTATTAAAGACGTTTTAAAACTAMACTTATTTAAGTTGCAAAATCAAAGATTACGTGTGCAACCCTAGTTCTGTGAATGTGAACACTTCACTATAGTGCACTATTAAATTACAATAACGGACTGTTTTCCCCACAACAGCCACACTGCATTTTGCACACAGATGAATGGATATACATAAGAAAATGGAACTAAACATGGCAATATGTAAGATGATCTTCAGAAATCAAGTATTTTACCACATAACAGCACTCTCAAAACTAAGGAGCTGAAAAAGAATAAAGTACCTATCACTTCTATGACTTTTGAACAGCAGATATAGACCTATACTATGAAACTTTATGTTCATGGAAATGTCAAAATTCCATGCAGTAACTGAAGGCACCTTCAAAGTCAAGGAAGTCAAAAACCTGTTTTTCCAAACTGCTAAAACAGCAGAATTCTAAACACTAAAGCAATTTCTAGTATTATTGTTCAAAATACAAACATAAGAAGACTAAGCACTTTAAAGCTTTTCACAAATATGCAGAAAAGGTATTAGTTGAAAAGAGAATAAGGATAATGTGGTACAGTACCTGACTAACTCTACTGACTTCTTCCTCTTCTTCTTCAGCTTCTTCCCCAAAGGAAAGCAGGTTGAAGTTTCTTTAAGAGGAAAAAGAAAATTTCTAGTAGAACTTTAAATACTGTCTTAATAACATTCCATTAACTTTAAACACATTACATTCCTACTGTACATGATTTTTAAAAACCTTTTTGTCCTGCTGAATGTACCTMTTCCAAACAACTACAGCATTTTGTTTGCAAAGTCACAAATATTTATAAAAAGTATATTGTATTGTATTCCTGAGACAAAACAAGAATAGCAAAGCATCAGTGAAGGCACAATTCAAGAAATTCCATCTTGACTTTCAATCTTCTGAATGTTGACAGTCATATTGCATTTTTTTTCTCAACAGAAGCATTCAAGTAAAACACAAAATTTTTAAGATATGATGGCTTTGAAAGGTATCAAATGTGCACACAGAATAGAATTAAAAGAAATTATGCTCTATAATGTCTTTTTCAAGAGTTAATTGTTTATGTTGGAACCAGTCAGTTACAACATGTTCTATTTTTGTGCAACAGAACTGACAGCATGCACACTTCAGARTCCCTATGACTTTTCACTGCACATTTGTGACTATGAGTTTTCATCCACTGAAACGAAAATTTCCCATGTCAAAATGCTTCTTCTTGCTAAGTACTTCAGTGGGGGAGAAATGCTATCTGATAAAAAAAAAAAATCACAAACTATGGAACTATTATCTAGTTACTCCTACTAGTAGGTTTTAACTGCAGTGTTATCTCAGTCAGTTGATTGGCCATTGTGGCATATGGAGAAGATAAAAGAGCTTTTATTATTTTCAGCAAACTATCACCATGCATGAAATAGTTACAGTTCAGCAGATGCACAGTAAACATTTCAGTCAAAGAAGCTAGACTTGCATGATCCAACCCGGAAACAAGGAAATGCTTCAAAGGCAGAAACAGAAATAAAGAAATTGCCAAGCTACAAATTAAAGGTGAAAGAAAATTAACCACCACTTATGTTGCATATATTTACTTTGTGCCTTTTACTTTGGACTTTTTAGTTTCTTCTTCTGGTTTATCCTTCTTCAGTTTCCTATTTGGTCTTGGGACAATGTCATCAAAAGGATTAAACAAAACCTGTTAAAAAATGCAGTATTTTAGACACATCTTTAGTAAATATTTTGTTTTAATTAAGTGATTCAATATTTTAAAACAATATGCAAAAGGATAAGCCAAATCTTATGAACACTATGCACAAAAGAATTCTAAAAGGTCACATTTCAAACCAGAACATACTCACCTCAGTACTTCTTATTTTGTGCGGACTGAGAGGTCTCTCTTCCTTGTCAACTTCTACTTCAGCCAGGCGCAACATGTTATATATTGTATCCCCTGTAACCTGGAAAATTTACAAAAACAAGTTTGAGAGTCCCTGACTGTCATTTGTGTTATTTATTCTGCAAAATACAAGGCAATTATTACATAAAAAAAAATTTGAAAGCACAATTTGTATAGAAAATAGTATAAGCACTTAAGACTTCTAAAATACCACAAGCACAATGTACAAAAGTTTGGGGTATTAAATTCAATTACAAAGTTGAAGAAATACAGTTTTGAGAAGGTATGCAAAAGAAGATGCTGAAGTCTTACTGTGAGCTATGAAACAGGAGAACAAAAACACTGAAATAAAAAATTGGTTTATTTTCTTTCAAGAAAATCATGAGACTGATAAGTTCATCTTATGTTTTTAATTTTCCTGGTCCTTCTTGGTAATTAGAATCCACAAACAGAATTTTCTAATATGTCATTAGTATTAGATGAACTGATTAATAAGACAGCCATAATACCACTAACAAGATTATTTAAAGGCAGAACAACATGAAAATACAATTTAGAAGAAAAACAACAGTGAAACAGACAATAACTGGAACATTTCTACCACATACAAGAAACAAAGAGAAAAGAGAAAGCCTAGAAAACATTGAAATAAATTTCAAACCCACATTGCAGCAAGCAACACTAAATTGGCCTACAGAGAAACTTGTAGTAGCTTCTCTCAGACCTAAACTGGGACTCTAGATCACGTAACAGACCTTTCCAAAGATTGTGTGTTTGTTGTTAAGTTCATCTGCACGACCCAATGTAAAGAAAAATTGACTTCCATTATCATGGGGCCCAGCATTTGCCATAGCAACAAGTCCTCTTCGATTAAATCGCAGTCGTGAGTGGAATTCATCCTGGTAAAAACAGGGAAGAAAAGAGAACAATTTCAGTATATAACTATTTTTTCACTCCTTTAGCTTAGGTGTAATAAACGTTAGGAGTGATATTATTTACATCAACATGTACACGCAGAAAACTATGCTGCCAATTTTCTTTTGGATTCAGACAGTAATAAATCCCAAGTTCTGAAACTCAATGCCAGAATTATATTTATTATATTTAAAAGCTTCTACTTTGAGGCAGAAAAAAAATATTTTTAGTTGGTATCTCTAATTCCTAATGCCTATAATGATGCAAACAAGTGAACAATCTTCAAATACCATAAACACAAAATGAACAAAACCAAACAAGAAATTAGAAACTAGAAYATCAATAACAGACACATCTAAGTCATCTTGTCGATTTTATCTTTTCCCAGTCTTTGCCTAAAAATCAATTAATATTTTTATTTACATTTGTTATGCCCCCAACATTAAGAAAATCAAAAGCATTTTTAAAAGTATCTGCATTCCATATATTTCTTGTAAACACATTCTTGACAATCACTGTGTTTACATAAAAAATTTTTATCAATCCTAATTCATGCAAAGTAACTGAAAGCACAGTAACAGCTTGTAATAGTAAAATCATGCAAAAATCCACAGGAAGAACATTTTATGGACCTAGGAAGACAAAACAGGACTCCTTTCAAAGCAAGGAGAAAGTGATGAATACCAYTGTAATTTCACGGCACTAAATACTGCAATACTGAGACACCATCAATTTGAAGCAGCAATGCCACTGCAATAGGTAGATATTGTTTTGTTTTCTGTTCAGGTACCATTGCCTCCCACAAACTTCAGGTTCGTGCTACATGAGTAAGTCTAGCAACAAAAAGATGCAAGGCCCAGAAACAGGCTGTGCAGACTCACTCACGAGTTAAAGGTGGCTGCCCTACCTGAAATGAAACTGTCAGGCAGAACAGAACACAGCTGCTGAACTTGTGTAGCTTCACTCAGGATCTGAGCCTCCAGGTTTATCATTTACCACAGTAGCTAKATTCAAAAACTCTCACTTAAGAAGGGTATATTGAAACATACTAAAGCAGCACATGAAGGCAACTACTGCACATGCATGCATTTCACGTAAGGTTTTTCACAACCTAACACAATAGGAAGAAAAAAGGATGAGTCTAACAAAAAATTAATACATAAGATATACAGATACRCACCTTGAAAGGAGCTCCATAGATTGACTCTCCTCCTGATCCTGTACCAGTGGGATCACCCCCTTGCACTATAAAGCCAGGTACTACTCTGTGAAATATTGTGTTATTGTAATACTCTAAAAAAAAAAAGGGAAAAAATATATTAAATACATTTAATCCATGCAAGTGGTCTGAAACTCAAACTTTCACATAGATCATGCAAAGATGTCCAGAGACTGAAGCTCCAGAAAGCAAGTACTTCAACTAGATTCTGCTGCTGCCACTGGGTTCTCTTCTGTTCTTCACAGTCTTATGAAAAGAACCCTGTGGTCTCATATGTTTCTTCTGCAAAAAAAAGCCTGCCCATCACTAACAAGAAGATCTTGATAAACTGCTGTCTTTTCAGCTTTTATGTTTTGTTACTGGAATGATAACATCAAATACACCAATTTAAAAGGAGAACTAGAACTACTCTGCTCTGTCCTGGACAACATCTCACACACAACATTAGCCACATCCACATACCAGATAATTTGCACTTTCACTTGGCAGTGCGGAACACCTTTCACCACATATGCTRTACCTACACCAGTATTTTTGCAGAATGAAATATATAGTACATTTTGCTCCCTAAATTATCCTCTTGTATCCATCAATCTGATAAAGGTTATAAAATCATAATAAAACAAAATAAATGAAAACATAACTTTACCTGAGCTATACTCTTCATTGATAATAATAATAAAAAGTCTGCAGCACGCTGCAAGACAAAGTAGGGTCTGCAAATGTTGCAGCATAACCAGATGCAGTCATGGATGGTGACACCAGAATACTCATGAAAAATACCCAAATGTATTATACAAAGCATGGAAGTAAATAGATACATAGAAGTAAATAGATACATAGAAGGATACATAGAAGTTAAGAAAAAAAATAACCTGAAAGGAAACAAAGCCCACTGATGATACATGAACGCTTATCACGGGCTAAGAAATGCATTTACCATTGAAGAAAATCTCAACATTACGTAAAAGAACAGAAAACAGACTGGATTCTGTGCTGGAGACACGAAGCCTAGAGTGCTATTTTTGTTTAGCAGATGAAGGCTAAAAGAACTCTTAACAATTCTAGAAATGCATAAATGGGAGAATAGTAGCAGTTAGAAAACATATAAAGTTGTGCTGGTTTTGCTTGGCACAGTTTTAGGAAGTGGGGGGGCTAAAAAGATGGTGCCTGTGAGAAGCTTCTGGAAGCTTCCACCATGTCCAGCAGAGCCAATTGCTGTTGGCTCTGAGGATGATGGACATGCCACTGACCAAACCTGGGCCAATTGGAGATGGTGGTTATGTCTCTGTGAAAACATATTTAAGAAGAACTCAAAACAAAGGTGGGGGCCACAGTAGTTTTTCCAGAGGAGGAGGAGGCTGAGAAATTTGTGAGGGATGCAGACACCAAGGTCAGTGCAGGAGGGGGAGGAGCTGCTCCAGGAGCCGGAGCTGGGATTCCTTTGCAGGCCGTGGTGATGACCAGGGTGGAGCAGGCTGTCCCCCTGCAGCCCATGGGGTCCACAGAGGGTACAGAGATCCACCCGCAGCCCGTGGAGGAGGGAGGTCCCCACGCCAGAGCGGGTGGATGTGGAGAAGGGGCTGTGTCCAGCAGGAGAGCCATGGAGAGAGAGGCCTTGCTCCCGAGATGGAACAGCCTGGCCTTGGGCCTGCACCCAGGGGACGAGGGACCCACAGTGCAGCAGTTTTGGGACGACTGTCTGCCCACGGGGGGATTCACGATGCAGCAGATGTGTGTGGACTGCTGCTCCTGAGAGTGGAACCGCGCTGGAGAGGTTCACAGAGAACTGTCTCCCTTGGGAGGGACCCCACGTCAACGCAAGGGAAGGATCCTCTCCCTCAGCAGCCGCAGATCGATCCGGTGATGAACTGAGCAACCCCACACCCTGAACTGACCGACCCCACACCTGAACTGACCAACCCCACACCCTGAACTGACCAACCCCACACCCTGAACTGACCAACCCCACACCCTGTTCACCACCCCCTGCTTTGCACTGTCGGTGGGAAGTGGGGAGAGAGTGGGGAGAAGATCGGTGTCTTTGAGGGTTTTATTTTATTTCTCATTCTCCTCCTCTGACTTTGTTAGTAATAAATTCACTTAATAATTTAAGTAGCGCCTGTTTTGTCTTTCAAGCATTTCCTCCCTGTTCCTTATTTCAACTCATGAACCCTTTTGTTGATTTTTTTTCCTTCACTCTTCTCTGCCCAGTGGTGGTGGGGGAGAGGGAATCAGCAGAGCTTGTGGGTGCCTGGCTTTCRGCCAGCATTCTAAAYCCCAACAAAAGGTATCAAGTGTTTCACAGATTTTTGTTACAGTTTTTCAGTCGGGAGTACTGCTTTCAGGAGCTTCCAGTACTTCAGTGGAAAGTTTTACTGAGCTTCCATCAAAAAAAAAAAAAAAAWACAGCAAATGAAACATTACAAGACTCATGGATTAAAAGAAAAAGTGYGAAAATTGTAATGCAGAAATGAGAATTTTGGAGACTATCCAATGTTGCATCCTCTCATTTCATACACACACTAAAGCTTTGTAGACATTTGCTATAAGCAAGGCTTCTCAAAACTCTGAAGATTGTTTCAGTAATAATATGTCATCTGTTTAAGAAAACCATACAAAATTTTTACCTTTTTTCCCCCACCGGTTTTATTGCTAGCCCTGAGAAACATTGTGTGAGTGTCAACTAATAATTTCTAAACAGAAACAAACTTATTGACTCACTGAAGTCAAAACATATCATCTCCTTTTACAAAATGGGCACAAAGGTCACATATGAATTGATTTTAAAAACTCCCATCCCATTTAGTCATTACCTTCCATACAAAGTTGAATGAAATTCCTGCATGCTTTCGGTGCTTCTTTTGACCATAATTCTATATCTATCTCTCCTGCTGTAGTTCTCAGCAAAACCTATAAACATATCGATAAATGAAGCATCAGTTTTACTGTAATTTAGTCACCGATCAAAGAATATCATTGTCTAAAAAACACATCCGAATTTGTTGTACTAGTAAGAGTGGCATACATTGAAGTGTGTCGGGTTGCTACTGTTAGACCTTTTCTAGCATTCCCAGAACTTGAGAAACAGCTTTGAATCGATATGTATTATAAAGCTGTATAACACAGCTGAATAACATAACATTAACATAACATGGCAGGTACTTGATAGCAATTTAGATGTTTTTTATCACTTCCATAACAAAACAAGGTGGGAAAAAATGCCATACATCTCCAAAGACATTTATCTCTCTTGCAATGAATACCATTACATTCAGTGAGAGTTCATAATAAAATTAAGGATCCAAGACACAATCGGGCATTGAAGAAATTAATTAAACGCTCCGAGGACTGCTCTGAGTTATGTCTACACACGGCATGCCTCGTGTTTTGTCTCTGGTAACTTCAGGGAAGTAACTTTAACCAAACCAATCCAGCACGGAAACAACTACCTTTCCACCCCCTAAACATCACCATCACCACCACCACCAACYAACAACACCAAGCACCACCACACAAGCTCGTGCTGCCCTCGCCTGTCCCCCCACAACCCTACGACATACAACTACTCCGGGATCTTCACCCCGGCAGCCTCACCTTCCCGTTGGTGGGCGGCTCCTGGATGTAGATGTTGCTCATGGCGGGGACAGCACCGGCGCAGATGGCGAACACTCGCCCGCGGCCCACGCTCTACCGCGCTTCGCCGCCAACACTTCCTACCGCCCCGAGCTGCCCGCCATCTTGGGCGCCTGTAGGCTGCCCAGAAAAGGGGGGATCAAGTGGCACAAGCCAGGAGCAAGGACGAAGGAATGAGTTCTCGGCCGGAGTCTCTGCGGGATTCACTGAGAAAGAACGTCTCTTGGGAAAGATCTGTGAACTTCTCCACACACTGGTAGTCTTTCCGCGGGGCTCCTCACCTAGGACTACTGAGGCCCCCTGCCTTCCCAGAGAGTGGTACGGTCCGGGAGTGCACCGGGCAAAGCCTTCCGGCGGGGAGAAGCGTCGGTGCGCGTGCGGGCCGGTGCGGCGGGAGCGGCGGGATGGCACTGCCGGGTGAGGGGGCTGCCGCCAAGAGCGGCGGGAGAGGGGGAAGGCCGGCTTGGTGCCGGCCCGGGATCGTGGGGACGGGGAATATGTGACGGGTCGGTGGACAGGGGCGCGGGCGCGGCGTGCGGCCGTGCCCCGCGGTGAGAAGCGTGCTCCGGCCCGCGCTGCCGGCGGGCAGGGGAAGGGCTGTGGAGAGCGGGGCCGTGGCCGCCCTGGGCAGGGACAGCGCAGCCCTGAGCATCCTCCCGGGGCTGCGGGGCCTCTCCCCGAGCGTTTGGGTGAGCAAATGCAGCGTTCCCATCTCCTCCCTCTCTGAGGTTAGAGCCGAAGAACGGTGGTTGTCAGACTCGGCTTTTCCCCATCGGCTGTCGTTCTGGATTAGCGCATGTGTGCCAGTAGATTGTGTTTGTGAGACAGCAGGCAGAAACATCTGCGCGGTTTGCAAAGTATTCAGGTCTGTGTTGGCCAAACATAATCGCCATTGCTTCATAGTGTTTTCTTGTTCCTGAAAATCGGGAAGTGTTTGATTCGAGAGCAGTTAAACAGGACTGAGCTTTGGTGACCTGCTTCTCTGATGAAGAGGCCTTAATAACTTGCTCTTATTCTAGAAGGGGTTCTTGGGGAAGACACGTTTGCATCTAAAGTTCTTCTTTTCCATTTTATGCTCCACTGAATGAATGCCTTAGTTTTGCGTCACTTGTTAATTGTCTTGAGAATTAAGACATGGGAAGAAGGAATGAGAAAAGGAAGCTTCTAACAATTTGTTTGCTTTTAGTCATCTAAAATTTCATCGAGTCTAAACCCCTGTCTTCAATTTTATTTTTTAAAGTCGAAACCAATCATAACTTGATGGGAACATTTGGTGACAATATTTTTGTCATCTGCTGAGGATTTCTTTTGGAAATCTGATTTACATGGGAGATTTTTGTCGTGTGCACGACTGTACTGCCCTCCCTTGGTTAAAATAGTAAATCTTTCTGTACCTATAGGTCTGCTGCGCAGTAGGGCTGAAGTTGACTATGTATTTGAGAAAAAGTAGGTAGCTGGGGTAGTTTTGTTTTCTAATCCCAAGGTGTAGTGAACAAGCAAATGCTGCCTTGAGTGTTTTCTCTGATGTGGCATTACAAGGTACAGGTATGCTTTTGATTTTTGTTTTGTGACACAGTTTTCTATGTTCCCTGCCTCCTTTTCTCTCATGGGAGTCCTCCTAAAGATAGTCACAAAACAGGCACTTGCTGACCTTGAAGGGGTTATGTAATACTAAAATTTTGGGATCTGCAGAAAATCCCATTATAATGGAATGTATGGATCTTTGTTGCTGGCTTTCCAGTACTGTTTAGGGCGTAGACCTGAACTGTCTACATTTCCAAGATAGTTTTTTCAACTTGGGGTTTGAAGGTTTCTGTTAYTTTGAGTGGAATTTTCTAAAGACAGTGCTTGTTTCAGTAAATCATAGTTTAAATTAGTGGGGCCAGTTTCTGGTTTTTTAATTTCTGTAATAAATTTCTCGGTATACTTGATTWAAAAAAAAATAAATGTCCTAGTTATTAAAAAAATGTATATGACTGCTTAAATTACTAGGGTTTTTGTAGTCTTCAGTTGGAAGATAGAATGGGATTTTGGGGTTTCAGTTATGACTTTGATTACCAATGGCTTAAATGATTAAAAATAAGATTGATCTGTTGAGGGGGCCAAGTCCCTGGTGCTTTCCTTTTTCTGAATCATGTCCTACTGTCTGTTTAACTTAACTGTTGTCTCACGTGGAAGAATCACACACTTTCTGTGCCTAAAATTTGCATTTTTCTGATCCTTCTGCCTGCTTAGAATCTAGACTTTTCTGTTATGCTTCACTTTATTACACTTGTTTTCTTGCTTTCTTTGTATTTGGTTTCATGTTGTCTGGATTCAGAATAATTAAACAATTTGTTGACTTTTTGATTTCCTTCTTTCTTTTCAGGAATGACTTTTTGTTTTGCTTGGTCTTTTTAATTGCCTTTTAAAGTCAGTTCTTGTAATGAAGATATAAGTCACTTCAGTGTTTCCAATGAATGCCTGTCAACGTCCCTGTGTTGCTAGAATTTATAAATACACTTCTAGTCTGCTAAAGGTGACTGGAATGTTACATATCTATTACTTGTTCATACTGTAACTAAGCAAGTGTAAAGGTCACAATAAATCAAATTAGGATTTGGCAGTAAATGATGTAAGATTAAATGACCTCTAGCAGTTGAAACTTGTCAAATGTGTTCTGATAGATTACTGCACAGAAAAGTGGCTTTAGAAATGCAGTTTTGCTTTTAAGTTGTTTTAAGATATCTTAGTGTACTTAATACTCTTGAGGAGTGATCAATAATGTCTTTGTGTGGGCATGATCAAGCCACATTTGAAAGAAACTTGAAGGTTCTCTTTAACAGCACCTAATTGGTGAAATTCTCTTTCAGGTGGAAATAAGGATAACATCAGAGCTGGATGCAAGAAGTGTGGCTATCGTAAGTCTGTAATAAGCAATRCGAATTTACAGTGTTTTCTTCAGTTTATGATGTTGGAACTGCCTTTTGAGGAGGGGGAAAAAATGAAAAAAGTATTCTCCCTTGTTGCTCAGACATTTGTCAGTTTAAATATTATTTTTCATTTATATATTTCGTATTGATTCTCTGTCTTCTCGCTATCAATGCTCTTTAAGTTTGTCAGAAAACAATTGTGCTATTATATTCATATATATTACATTTCAGTGCAGTTACTTGAGAAACTTTGAATTGAAGGCACCTTCTTTGATATATACTGAAAATAGAACTTGTATTTCTGAATCTTAATGTAAAGAGACAGGTGTTTAAGTCCAGTGTGATTCACAAGAAAAAAGATAATTTAAAATCTGTATAATCTTTTATGCTAAGAAATTACTTTATTCGTTGTGTATTTCAAGAAACAACTACCTTTATTRCTTACAAGTTCTGCAGTTGACATTTAGTGGATGCTTTGCATTATCATATAAGCATGTCTGTGGTTATTTTCCTGATTAATGGAGACAGGTCTTAGTGAAGATTTAAATTGTTAATCACTGATTTTTATTTTTAGAACAGTAGATGAATGGACACTTGTGTGGTGAATTGTCTTGAACTTTTAGCACAACAAGCTAAATGTTTGAATTTTTTATGAGTGCTAAGTTGGTGACAGAAAAAAAGCTTGCTTCATTCTTTCACTTCAGGCTTTGCAACAAATTTTGTCAAGAAATTGCTTGGTGTATCTGTTCTTCCAAAGGACTATGRATATAACTACAGATTTAGTGTTTTGTTTCTACATGCAGCATGTATCAGAAGCCTCCTGGAAGAGAAGGAAACTTGCAGTCAAATCACATGATCCATGTTTATATTCCTAAAATCTCTGTCTTCAAGATGTAGGTAGTTTGATATTTAATATCATCATCCTTACTAAGAACCTGAGCTTATTTCAGTTACTGTGTAAATTCCTGCATCTCCCAAACCATGTCTTCAATTTTTAAAAGTTTTACTTTATTATTTCAACGRGTATATTCAACACAAGGTTTTTAGCTGGTCATGATTATTGAGATATAACTCAGTAAACTAAAAACACTAGTCARGCGATAGCTTAGTCAGTATTAAGTAGGCAAAAGATTATGTCTGGTTMTTAATTGTTTCATAAGCAAATAGGATTAATTTTTTGATTCATGAGCAAATAGAATTCTGCACTTTCACTAGAGGGAGTTAAAAAAGGAATGTACACTTACTGTGGCTTTTGAAATATTTCACGCTATATATTTAGGTAATCTCTTCCAGAAAGTAAGAGAAAATATGAACTAGAGTTGACAAAATATCTTCAAATTAGCAGAAATAGGAGAGAGGTTATATACCACTATTAAATGGAAGAGCATTGCACAACCTGTCAGATTTTTTTGAGACTTTTTAAAGTAAACTTTCTCCTGGGTCATTCACAGATCACAGCCTACCCTTTTTCCTTTCCGTTCTCAAAACTGAATAATACCAAAATTAATATTCTTTAATTTTTGATGGTTTTTAGTAAATTGTAATTTTCCTTTCTGTATGTTTGTTTTGTTCAGCTGGTCATCTGACATTTGAATGTCGAAACTTCCTTCGAGTAGATCCTCAAAGAGATATTGTTTTAGATGTTAGCAGCACCAGCAGTGAAGACAGTGAGGAAGAGGAACTACAGAGATTACAAGCCATGCGTGAAAAAAAGAGTAAGGTGGTTTTTGTGAGTGTTTTTTTAGAACACATTGGATAATGGTTTTCTGATGAATGAGGACTCTCATTTTATCCTTTTTGATAACTACTTCGTTTTTTTAGTCTGTAATTCTTTTACTTCATGTGTTCAGACTTCAGAGATTTGATACACCAACATTTTTCATTATTATTAATTCCTTTTATAGGAAATTATTAATGTACCTGTTTGGAACATCTCATAAAGGGTTCCAAAATACAAAAGGTTATCAATCTGTTATTAAGAAGGTGCTTAGAAGAAAATGGCCTGGATATTCTGAGTTAATCTTCTGATTATGACATGTAGTTTGAACATCTTCTGATGTGAAATATGACACTTGAATTTCTTTTCAGTTTCTGTGTGGGATTTTAACTGAAACAGCTTGTAAATTGAAATTCAGTCATTTGTATTTGGAGAAGTACTGCTTTATATTGGGACGGTCTAAGTATCAACTCCTTGTCAGAGAGAGAATAAATGGRTTGTTTATCTGATACTTGAGTTCATTTGTATTTGGGCTCTAAAAAGATTGTTTGCCTAAGTAAGACGGGGAGGTTGTTCCTATTTTGGAAGGAAAAGGGATAGATAGATCCCTATAGTTAACTGTACACTTCAGAAGAAATGAATAGACTGTTTATCAAGAGTGCTGACCTGGTACTTCAATGGTTTTTTTTCTTGGAACAAGTCTCTTTGGAAAAAAATGTTTACAAATTATTTGTGATATATTTCTGAATGTAAAAGTGGTTTTTTTTTTGGTTCTAAGCTGATTGGAGATGGATAGCTGCAAAGAAACCAGCTGTTTAATTGATTTTCTAATATCCCTGTTCATTATATGTTCTTTCTCAAATTGTGACTGCTCAATGTATTATAAGGAGACATGTATTTGTCAGTAGTCCAGGTGGAATTTTGCCATTTTAAAGTGGCCTCATCTTCTCAAGATTCCTAAAGAAATACTGAGTGTTTGTTCACCCATTCTCATTCATGTTTTTTTCACTGCTTCTAAGGTAATTTGTTTTTTTTATCTTATAGTAAATTGTTTCAAGTTTTACTCCATAACATAAAGACCAGTAAATTGTATTTGTGGTAGCAAAGGAATAATTGCACCAGCATGCAGACTTTATTGAAAGTGTTATGGGAATAAGATGAAATGCTCGAAACTGGCTGTCTCTTTTTTAAGGAGAAATTGTAAAGCCAGTATTTTACTGTTAGCTGAACGTGTATTTATGTAGTTGATTTCCATTTTGGAGAGCTTAAAATCACTTTTGGAACTGATGTGGAAAAATTGAAGGTCAGAAATTTCATCCATGCCGTAAAAATATTGCTTTGTGAAATGTGAAGTTGCTATACATTGTTTTGTGAAAAGTGGAATGTGAAGTTACTATACAACATTGTACAGCATTTGGGCAGGAAGCAGACACGAATAGGTGAGGGGTGACTCTTTTGCCAGTCTCTGTAGGCAGTGTATTGCCTGTTAACTCAAATGTGTCTCATTTTCAGCATTGCTGTTTGTGAAGTGTAAAATAAGGATGTGGGAAAGTAAACCAGGGAAGCCTAAAGGAATATTAATTTTTTTTAATATGTTTTATTTAAATGACCTGTTCTCATACTTGGGCAATAGTATGTTAAATGTGAAACCTATTAAAACACAGAACAGAGATGAAAATCTGAAACTGATGTAAACATATAGGAAAAGGTGTTTTTGCTACTTTTTGCAAGCCTTCCTTCATTCTGACTGCTTACATCAATGTCAATACAATAGAAGTTGTGTATAAAAGTTCCGCTAGTCTGCAATATATTTCTGAAAGTGGTATACTAACCAGAATTTGGGGGAAGGAAAAGCAAGCCTTTCAACAAGAATTTTGTAACAACTTTACATTGCTTTTAAAATTACTCTTAATGCTGATCTTAATTCAGACAAATGTTTTGTAAACTTTAACTTTTTATCCATAGATTTAAATGAAGAGGAAGAAAAAAGGAAACAAAAAAGAAAAAGCAAGGAGAAAACAAAATTAAAAAGAAGGAAAAGGTAACTATCACACACTTTTATATTTCAAAACATCACTTTAGAAATATTTTTGATACTTYGGTAGTTTCTCAGAAAATATTATTTCTCTTGATGCAACTTCATTTGCAAGTACATCTTTGGTTTGAAAAATTTTCTGTTTTCCAGTGAGAACTGATTAATGGTAAAGTAATGGTAAAATTATGGTAAGGTAAAGGTTCTTAGAAAAATGGTGAAGTCACAGTCTTTCTGTCATGGATTTAGGATCATAGAAGTCTTGAAAGCTCTAGCAAGCTGTATGTCTGCAGATCAGAGAAAACAATACTCCCTGTGACTGTCCAGCTCTCGGCAAGGTGTGTTGGGAGAAGAGCAAATCAGGAGGACTGTGGGATTGGTCCCCAGCTGAGCCAGGCTACAGAAGGCTCTCAGAAGTTCTGAGATTGTAGGATTCTTTGTGAGCACACATGCATGTTTAGACACACATGCAGGCACATACACATGCTCTGTGTAACACACAGTAATCAAAAGGGAAACCTCTGTAATTAACAATTGTTGAGTTTTAGTGCACCTAAAAAGTGTTATTTCATTCTCAGAAGAAAATGTTACAATACTACAGTGTATTGTGAATCTGTGTTCTGGTCTGTGGACTGATTTGGTTCTTTGGGGTTTTTTTGCTTTGCTTTTTTTGCTAAGGTGAGACTGTAGATGAGACTAATAGTTTGTAGGACAATTGGTAAGACAATATCCCAAGAACTGTGCTGTAAGCTATAAAATGTACAATGTATTTGGGGACCACAATAAGACATTCCTTAGAAATAATTAAACGGGATTTAATACTTGTTGTATTTGGATTTTTCCCCTTTCTTATTTATATTGTGTAGCTCAGACTTCCACTTTTGAAGATAGAGCTTACACTTGTAAACAATAGCACAAGACTGCCCTCTTTAATATTCATGATTACAGAATGGCTTTTATTGTCCTCATAATTCTTCTATGTATATAATCACTCATCACTGCTGGTTAGAGACCAATAGTGCAGGCTGCAAGAACATCAAAATTTTTCATACCTGTTTATCTTAGATTTTTGCATCACAGATATGCATCTGAAGGCACTAATTAGCATTGTTATTGATTATGTGGTATTTTAAAAGCGGGAAGCTCTGTTAGGAAAGTCACAAATTAAACATGCAGACTCAGATACCATTTCCAGTGGATGCTAGTGTAGAAATTCTACACCAGGTTTAATTTGTGCCATTACATAAATACTGACAGCTTAAAAATTATTACTGTGCCATTTTCCTTTTTTAATGACATGCTGATCTGCATTTTCTTTTACTAGATCTTCCTCATCAAGTTCAGCGGAAGATGAGCCAAAGTCAAAAAAACAGAAATCACACAAAAAAGAAAAAGAAAAGGAAAAAAAACATAAATCTAAGAAAGGAAAGCATCATAAAAAGGAAAAAAAGAAGAGACGAAAGGAAAAAAGTTCCTCTTCTAACAGTTCAGACAGTTCGAGTAGTGACTGAGATGCTCGTCTATTTTTGTGTTCACTTCTGCAGAGAAGATGATTTTCCTTTCATAGGAAATTTATTTATGCTTTACAATGCTGGTTTAAAATCTGATTTTTTTTTTTTGAGAAATCTATTTGCATACATCGAGTTGCTTCAAGTTGGACCATTAAGTCTGTGTAGGAAAAAAAAAATCTGCGTTTCTATTTCAGGTTTATTAGTATTAAACCATGYAAGTTTAGCTAGTTCTTCACTCTTATGCTTAGTTCTGTTGTGAGTGTGTTTGTAATCCTTTACAGTAGGATGTGATAAACTTCAGTTTGCAAGTCTTTGTGTAGAAAGATCTGGACTTAGATATGCTTAATGGCAGAATGGTTAAATCAAATTTGGAAATTGAAGTGAGATTTTCTATTACCCTTTAAATAAATGTATGTTTGCATTTACACATACAGCATTTTGTGCCTACATACATTAAGCAGTAAGTGCAAATATGAAATAGTGTTCAGGTCCTGAGAGGGGAAGAATGAATAATGAGAAGCTAAAAAAGATTGATCCTTCAAAATTATGGTCTAAGATTGATCTAGTCATAGACTGTGAAAAACAATTACACATTCTTTTGGCAGAATCACTGTGAGCAAGCTGAAAACAAGCAGAAGAAAACAAAAGCTATCAGTTTTTAAAGTCTGTTCTGCTTGGGTGTTGTTCTTCTACAATTATGGCTATTTCRTCTTTTGACATTGATGAAAAGTTTGGATATCAAAACAAGACTTATAATACTAAACTTCCATCTATTTCTTCATTTCTGTCAGTTGTTATTAGCTTCAGTTTGCATAAACCACGCTTTCAAAGGCTAACCCTGGCATAACTGCTGCTGTTGTACAGGCCCAAAATAGTGATGCCTGCTACTCTACATGCTCCAAAGCTCTAACAATATAAAGGTGATGCCAGTACAAAAGAGTGCCATTCTCTGTCCACTTATCTCAGTAATGGAATAAAATGCCTCTTTCCAGAAAGAAAGACAAGAATAAAGCATGTGAGTAGTATGTGAGATGGGCATGCCAAATGCATAGAGCAGTGAAGAGTCAATAACCTCCACATGCCTTATAGTAAACTCTGAAGTGCAAATCAGTCTGTCGATAGGCACCAGGAAACAAATGCAGATACCTGGTGTTTCCTTCAGTTGTCTTTCCCAGGTGGCAGAAGAAAAATGTGCACATTGATAATTAAGCTACTAAGCTGGGAAACAAATGGCTATAAAATGCACCAAAGCCTAGAATCACCGAATTGAAACTAAATGAACCTCTTGTTTCATAGCCAAAGAAAATACACAGCACAAAAATTACAGCTTTAGCATTGTCTGCAATTTGTGAGGCACCAAGGAAACCCCTTCAGTCTCACAATTTAGAGTATATACATTTTTTAATATACCTAGCGTGATTGAAAGCTGCTTACAACACAAATCATTTTAACATGTTTTACCCTAATTTGAATACATACCAGATTAGGATGGTTGAACAGTAGTAGAATAATACTTTAGTCTCTGCCAAATTATACTTCTATGCTCTGTAGTTTTTGTGGTCTTTAGAGGCATTTTATCAATATACTTGCCATCTTCATGTTAAACTTCTGAAATCTTTTACCTGCTACTAGCATCGGTTTACAATGTGTAGATCACTTAATTGCAATTCAATATTAATTTCCTTTGTTACCATTACAAGCTCTTCTACCATCAAAGTTAGAGTGAATATTACACTGTCACTCATTAATTTTACATTTTAAAGATTTTATCATTCAGTAGTGTCGACTTGTGTTTACAGGATTTTTTCTTGAGTATTTCCTGCAGTTTACCCAGTTACTTCCTTTGTTGTATTCTGAGCTCTCTTCAGTGGTATGTGTTGGTTCTTCACTCTGTAGGGGAGCATAAATAATGGACGAACAAAAGTCTTAGGCATAGGTAACCAAGAGGTGGGAATAAACCTAAAAGAAATATAAATTTTTTGTGATGCAGTATTATGCAGCTCTAAAACTGGAAGGTTTTGTTTTTCCTTTCAGCAATAAGTCATGGTCAAGAATCATAGCTCAGAATTGCAATAAAGCAATTCCAGATAGAAAAAATTGCAGTGTCTAGCTGTGAACTTGGAACAGACTGAGTAACCTTCACAGCCTTGATCTTTAGGGACATCAAAGCTGCTGAGATAATCAATGATTATTGAACTATATGTACTCAGTGCTTTTGTAGTTGACAATAGGAAAGAATGTAATAGCTGCAGGTGCCTCTCAAAAATATAATGAGTAATGAATCTGACATGGTGCTTGTTATCTGTTTCATGTAACAATCAGTTCTAGAAACTCCTGGGAGAAGGAGTATTTTGAGAAGATTATCTTTTGCAATTCCTCACATCATCTCTCCCCAGTCAAAAAAGGACATAATTTCTATGTGTGCAAAACAGAGTGTCAGATATCACAAACATTTTTTCTCAACTGGTGATTCAGTAGTGCTCTGAAGTATCCACAGTAGAGCCAGCAGTGAAGCTCTGAAAAAATTATTCTGACATTGCCATGTCTTGGGCAGCCAGTCTATCTTGTGAGAATTACCATACATCACAGACTCTCTTGGCAAAACACACTGGGTGCCTCTTACCTACAATACCTCTGCCTCAAGGCAGAGGTACCTGAGACAGGCATTAATAGAAATTAAGTTGCAAATCACAGTAAATAATAATGGTGGATAGAGGAAAATATGTCAAAAAAGTTCTGTAGCAAAAACACCAGAACATTTTCCCTGTTCACAAGAAAGTCTAGTGTATTGATATATGAGATGAATTTAGGTGAAAAAGAAGAATATAAGAAAGGTGGTGGTGGCAGAAAAGAAGAGGTACAAGAATGAAGAAAGTAAAGGGATTAAGGAAAAAGAAAGAAAAATTACTTAAGAAGAAAGACCAGAGGAAAATGTTATCTAGAAATGCAATGTTATAGTTTAAATAGTAGCAATAAAGCAGAAAAGACTAAAAAAAGCTATTTTGTAGAGTTGACTTCAGCAAGATGTACTCAAGATGTGGCTTTAGTTTTCTGTGTAAGCTAAATATTTGACCTGCTGAGAAAGTGTACTGTGAAGAAGAGGGATTAATCTTTATTTATCTGTACTGTGTAAGTATTCCTGAGGCTTTAACCTAATGTAATAGTTTATAAAATATCCTGGCAGAATTTTGAATCAGAGAATTTCAACAAAGAATAAAGTTGACCTGTAAGGAACACAAAGTTTATGGTATTAATTATCCAGGAGTAGACTTACCCTGATTGGCAGATTGGCAGAAACTTTGTTTTCATCACAGAACTGCAATCCCAGAGCTAGAAATAACTTCTGGAAGGGGGAGCTGAGTACACATAATGGCTCAAATGAAGATATGCTTGCATCAGACAGCAACAGACTGGATGAACAGGTGCTCTTTTGGACACCAGAATTCCCATTATTACTGGTATTTAACACATGTTAAAAGTGTGGAAGTGAGAGAAATACCACTCCAAGAAATTTTACAGATGCTGTAAGATAAAAGCTCAAAGTACTGGTGAGGAGACTGATAGTTTAAAGTACTGGTGAGGAGACTGAGTTCTGTCAGGAAAGTGTTTTAGACTGGCAACATGGGGCTTGATCTGGAGAGCAGATTATGCATATGCTGGGAACAGCCTAAGTGGGAAAAAAACAACTATCACATTAGAAAGAACAACCACCAAGTAAGGTATACCTCTTGAAATATGGCTGGGGCAATTTTTGCCAAACTGCTAAAAGAAAACAGAATCTCAGGGAAAATACTTTTAGATTTGAGATAAATTATTCATCTTAGGACAGTTTAAAGTCAGTGTTAACAACTTGCCACACCATGATCCCTAGAACAAATGTCCTGCCCACGTGTGTTTAGCCTAGCATAGTTCTTTGTGAAGCAGAAAAGGAAGGCTCTGCTGTTAAGAGGTAAGTTTTCTTGCATGTCAGTCAGTGCCATCAAGGTCCTAGAACTTAAACAGGAACACAAACTTCCCAAAAGAATGTTACAAAACCCTTATTGACTGGACTAATTTATGACTAAGCACAAGCAGAAATTTCTGTAGATTCTCTTGCCTCTTGTCCATGAAGCTGGACAACAGGTAGGGTATCTCTTACATAGGTAAAAAGGAACTTTACACTGACATAAGGCATTATAATGACAATACACATGTAGTGCACCACTGTGTATTTTTTCCTCAAATTGGATAGAAGGCTATTGTATAGGTTATTGTATTTTTCCCATTTTCTGACCCAGATTTTCTAAGTTGTATTGGGTATACTTGGACCTATTCTGTAAGTTAACATGCAGATTTTGTATGATATGGTCATTTTCCATTTTGAGTAAGTTAACGTGCAAAATGCAGTATGTGTTTGCCGTCTACTGCTGTAAGCTTCTATTTTACGTCTGCTCTGAAAAATGTACACTTTACACTGTAGATATTTATTGGACTTCTTAGATTGATTTTTTTTAATGATGAAATATCTGTGAAAAGAAGGGTGCTGCAAGTGGATGGTAGTTAAAAAGAATTTGGTTTTGAATAGCTGGAGCTGCACAGTTTTAGTTAAAAAGGTGGAACTTGACATTTGGTGGGAACAGGAATTTTTACTTGTTTCCTACCTTGCAAAAGAATTATGGTGCCTTTAACCTGTAGTCCTTTCACCTAAAATGTTCAAACTCCAATCAGAATTTAGAAAGGAAGTGCTGCTTTTCTCATTATTCTCTTTGAATTGCTTGTTTCCCATGCATTTGGGAGTTTATTAATTTGAAGTTGGGGTGGTTTTTTTAATACTTTAAAAGTAAACAAATATAGGAATGGTTCTAAGTTATCTAAATGATTTGTATATAATTTTGTTGTAAGAAATTTTGAATTGATATATACCAATAAATTGAAAGATAGCAATATAATTAACTATTATCTTTCTTTTACTAACATCATGTTTTGTGGCTTAAAAAAAAGTTGTCTTGTTTCCTTTCAATAAGTAAAATATAATCCTCTGCATTCCGAACTAAACCAGTTTATCCCTTTGCATGTCTTCAATTCAGGTACCAGGATTTGGTTCATATCACCATCTGTTAAAAGATAACTGGATGACGTTCCATTAACCCTTGATCACCAATATTCCTAAAGCTTGGCAATCACAGCATGTGTCTAATTATGATTAGTAGGTGGCACAATACAAAGGGCCTCAGGTAAGGTGCCAGATTGCTTAGAATTATAGAAAGGCTTCAGAATGAGCAAAGACTGCGATTTTAGTAGTCTTTCTTTGAGAAGAAGAAACACTGCTGAAGTTTCCAGAATAACAAAAAGTACAAGGATGCATATTACTGTACACTTCAATATACTGCAATCTTAAAGGGTTTTGAAGATGACATATCTAAGTCTGTCCATCACAGAATGTACTTAAATTTTGAAACTTATCATGATAAGATTGATGTCAAGAGCTTTGTAAAATTAATTAAAATGCTTATACATTTGTCTCATTAACATATATTCCACTGCAACAGCAGTGGTTAAAATGCAGAGATATGAGCTGTCATATAACTTGGCATATTAAATTCCTTGTGACAATATGTGGGCAGGTACTGCATTAGACAAGCTCACTCCTTCATCTGTCCATCTTCCTTAGTTGTTGAAAAAAGATAGCACATGACCTCCTACAGCTGTTTCTCTGTGTGTACCCGTGTAACAGGACTTCTAAAGAAATCTGGTGTGAAATTTTCTTTCTGCCTTTCTTTCTCATGGCATCACTGTACTTCTTTTTTGGCATTAATATCTGTCTTTTTCACTTATGCTGAACAAAAATTATTTGGTTAATTGTAACTACTAATTAGCTTTCCAGACAGCATCTATGATAGCCTTTAGACAACAGGAGGTGTTTTTCCAAAGTTTTAACAGTTGCAAAATCTAGTGAATGTGTGGGGATGGAGTCATACAGGGAGTCTATTGGTTTGAGACTTAATGAAAACATGTCAGTGCTGCCTATTATGGAAAACAGCTCTAATTAGCAAGCACAAGGTTTGTGAGAAATCTGCATAAAACTTCAAAGAATTAACTTCAAGAAAACATTGTGCTGTCTTAACAATGTGTTTGCTCTCATAAGCACATGCTTTTGTGTGTGTAGGGATGTCCCCATTTTAGATGCTAAGGAATATATACGTCTAAGAATAGTTCATGACCTGAAATCTTCAAATCCATTGATGTTAACCTTTTTCAGTGCTATTTATGAAGAATTTAGTCGTACATATTTTTTTATCTCTTAGAAAACGTATTTGTTGAAATAGAAATATTATCACAAATAAGTGTAGTACTCTGTCAAAAAAAATTAGAAAAACAGTCCAGCAATACAACTAGAGACAGGACAACATCCAATATAAATAAAAAACTTTATTAACAATGTRAAACGTTTAATATCTTATAGACTAAGACAATTCTGGCATGCCTTGTAAGACCAATACTTAGTGATATGCAGACACCATGCTTTGAATTCTACTGGAAACAAAATGGGTTGGCATTGCGTTTTACATTGTTTATTTTAATAGACCTTCTTTTAATAAACTATTTATTCTTTTCCAAAAGCTTGTAGATATACTATTGGCTTAAAAGGAAATCTGTTGCTTCTATGCATTGTATTCATAGATCTTATGATTTCTCTGTATTTACAAGTCCTACCTAGTTTCATATACGGTTGGTATCATAAATTAAGATATTTTTCAATAAAGCTTTGAAGTTGAGATACAGTGGAAGACTAAATATGAATGAGAGCACAAAAAGCAACTGGAGATTTTGTACAAATTCYCTTACAATATTGTTTAAATGCCTTAGAACTTTAATAGTTTTGCTCTTAAATAGTTTCCTATGCTTAAAGACTGTTAGAGTATGATTTTAATATGATACTAGTAAGAGTACTGTACTATGCACAAACATTTAGCTGCAATTCAAACAATTAAAAAAAATCTCTAAAATGATCTATGAGCCATAATTCATGTGTCTTCTTTGAGTGATTGAAAGTAGGCATGCAAAACATACTTTAAAAAGTTTTAAATATGCTAGATCTATTCCATAGCCATTTTTGATCACCATAATTTTTAACTATTAAAACCCTTATTTGAAAAGGGGGATGGAGCAGAAGACAAAAATGAATAGCCTAGTGTAGAAAATGTACTTTATAATCAAGATTAGCCACTTTAATCTTTGCAGCAATCAAATAATAGTGGTTTAATCAAAATCATGATTTTCTTCGTGCTTCTGTACTTAATCTTCTAACTTGAGACAAGACAACACAATCCAAAGAATCTTCGCTTCCGTCTTCTTACCAGTGGATATGGAGTCAAGTTTAGGAGGCTGCTATCATCTGTGACAAAACCCCCACATTTTAGCACAAGCATGTACATATATACAGAGATTACACAGAAAAGAGATTATATAATTTATGTGTCCTAAGAGCAACTACATGATCCCAGAATCAYAGAATCATTTCTGTTGGAAAAGATCTCTAAGACTGAGTCAAACATACAACCAATCACCACCACATCAACCAGGCCATGGCACCAAGTACCAGGTCCAGTCCTCTCTTGAACACCCCCACCACCTCCCTGGGCAGTGATTCCAATGCCTGACAACCCTTTCAATGATGAGATAAATCCCATAGAGCACAGAGCAAATAATAATCTGAATTTTGCATTCAACAGTCTTACAATACTAATTACCAGCATCTCTGTAATAATTATGATTATCTAATCCTGGAGCATATCTCAGAGTTTTAAAACTCTGGGATGTTTCCTATCCTGTTGCACAGGTGGTCAGTGATTTTTCTGGTCAATGTTGAAGGGCACTGTAGACACCAGGCAGCGGAGAGGAATTCTGCGCACCTTTATCTCTGTTCTGAATTCAAGTTTCTCTATGCATTACACCCTCCCAATTTATCCTTTCCTTCCTTATTTCCAGCACGCTCTTCCAGACTACACATAGAGTTTTTATCACTCTTTACAATGGTCTGTATCACAAGTGATTCCCTTTTTCCTTTCAACGTAGTTTTCAACCAAGCTATCCTGCCATGAAATCTTACTTGTATAATGAATCCAATCATTCTATAGTCATCTCTTAGCATATTATGATTAATGCTAGACTGCTTAGTTACTTGGAATGAGATCTAGGACACCTTCAGCACATTTCAACAGCTGCCACTGTGCAAAGACTACATTGAATTTAAGAAACACCCATTGTCAAGAATAATCAAAAAGAAAAATTACTATCTTTTTAATGCTGTTCTCATGAACAAAGAGAGTGCCTGTAGATGTGGAGTATTTAACACTCAAAAAAAAAATGAGTGGCTCATTGCTAAATACATGCATAGGATGGAGATACTGCCCACCTATGCATTCTTATGGGGTGCCTGAGTGCTTCCATGGGAAAAGGAGACTGGTGGCAAACTCAAGGCAGGCTTTTCTGCCAATAGTCAGTGTCAGGTCACAGAAGCTACAAGCCTCGTAGGGATGAAGCAAATGCCATCACTCAGAAGGATCCCTGTCACGGTCTGTGCAATTTGCACCTTTGTTACCTTTGAGAAAGAAGGACTCCTGACACTGGAAAGTAGTTGTCCTTCTGCCTTCAAATCACCAGGAAAAGTCTATTATTTTATCTGTAGATACCCTATCCATAAAATTAGAATACCTCATGTGAAACTCAAGAGGCCAAAGATCAATTATGGCTCCACTAAATCAGCAGGGAAGAGATTTTGCCTAGATTTTTCTTGTTGTAGTTTCTATAAAAGAACCCTAGATGTTTTGTATCTAAAGGAAGGCAAACTCTTTAATTATCTTAATTTTTCTTAAATGAATAAAATTCAAAACCTACCTTGATTTTTCAGTGGTAAAGGCATAGTCTCCCTGAGTTTGCTTAAAAGGTTTTTCATTTCTCTCATATCTCTGTGGATACAACAGTTAAAAAAGATACAGTGGAACACACATAAAGACGACATTGAGAATGGCTCAGAGTATAGCTTCATATGCTAAAACAATGGAGCAATAAATACAAAAATCTATTGAGCAAGCAATTGGTTTACACACATATATCAGAAGATGCATACCAAAAGAAATGGCAGTAAAATTATTAGGAGAGCACTTTAATGACAGTATGATACCAACTTTTGTTGGTTCAAATTTATGATCTATTCTGGTACTTGAATATTTCATATTAAATTCCTTTGGGGCCACAATGTGATTCTAGTGACAATATATGCAATATGTCTTAAAATTAGCACAAGCTAGTACTAATGTCAACTTCATACCCCTTATCCACATTTTGTAGCTTCTGCCATGAATGTGATTCACTCCTCAGAAGAAAATTACAATACATGCAACTAACCCATGATATTTAACACTGCACATCAAATGACAATTTTAGAAACAGGGCTTTTACTCTCACCTGCCTTAGAAGGACTCTGGCATTAGACTTTCTGAAAGGCAGATGATGGAAAATATGACAACAAAACATCATCTCCCAAAAGCAAATTACATTTTGATATGTTTTGAAAGAGGCCAGAGGTTTCAAAATAGTTTCCATTTTACACATGGATGGCAGACCTGCAGGCTTTTAATATTTTAGTGCTTTCAGTTTTTAAAACCAATATGGGCTTGTTTCATTCATCTACACATAAAATGGTTCTTAGAAGTGCAGCAGCATAATAAATAAAAAACGGGTCTGCTTTATTCTCCATATCATGGCCCCAGTAAAACGGAAGTTTGCTTCATCTAAATAAGCACGATAACAATTCAAATCTCAGCAGTAACTTAATATACGAAGTCTCAAAATGGGATTTTTTGAAAAGAAATGTTAGCCATCAGGATTACTCTCTACTAAAGGGTCTCATTTTTGTCTTTCAGCTGCATAGCTAAGAGAAAAAGAGCAGTCCACTGCGACAAAACTATGGATTACATTCCCCTCCCCTCCTAAAACTTACAAATTTGAAACTGTGGGCAGAACTAATGGAACTGAACTAAATTCTGTGGGGTTGACTTAGAAATGCAGAAATAGAGTCGAGCAGATTTCAGGTACAAAATCAATCTGTTAAATGTACCACAAAAGTTAACAACTATTTGATTTACTTACACTTTTTATAGTAGCAACACTGGCTGTCAAATTAAAAAAAATAAACCCTACACAGAAATTTGTTTAGGGATTAAGTGCTACACATACCTTTCAGTGTTTTCAATATCTGTGGAAACCTGCCATAGATGCTGTTGAATATCTGTTGGTGATAATGATGTATCTTCTAAAATAGGTACTTCAGAACTCTCTTCCGCTTTAGTATCTAGGATCTTGGCTGGGCCACAAGGTTCTTTTCCTTTAAAATAGTTAAACAAAACATGTATCCCTATTATTTATTAAAATAGATACTCAAATAATATAATTGATGCTTTGAACTTGACCTTGCACACTTTAAATGGAGAAAAAAACTGTTTAAATGCAAACTCTTGAGTGGGAACTGTTCAGACCACATGGAGCTACAAGCCATATAATACTCTTACCAGTTTGAAGGGGTTCAATTAAACGCCAGCCTCATGCAACACAAAACAGAAGTCAGAAAACAGAACAAAGTAAATGAGGAAACTACAAAACACTTCAGTTGGAAACGACTTCAAAACTTAAGGAACACTGCAAACTATGACTCCTAGTACGACGGCAATACTGAGGAAAAACAAAAGACAAAAATGTGAAATTTTGTACTTTATGATCTAACAGCAATATAAAGCTGCCACCACTCACAGCCCAAATGCCTTATATTCTGAATTTCTGTGTTGACACTTACCTAATTCATGCTCACTGTATGAAAATTAAACAGTATTGAAATTGAATGGGGGCTTCCTGAAAGATCTTCCAGGGCTTTTGTGAGGGAGAGAATGGGATAGAGCATTTGATCATGGTAGTAGAGCATGCAAGAGAGTTAGCTCTCACCAAATACAGAAGAAAATGCACATTGGAGTGCATCCTAGGCACATGTCAACATTTAAACCAGTAGTATGAAAAGTTGAGTGGGAAATGTTTTTCCACTTCATAGTTTTTGCAATTTGGAAAATTTTCACATCAGGACAAATCTGAGTAGTTTTGTAAGGTTTGCCAAAGTACACAAAGAACAAGCTAATAGAGCATTGGTCATTCAGCTCAATTTTCTGGTACGTAGAGACCAAGACTGAAGACCTTGGTATACTGCTTTTCACGTCAGAAGTATATCTCCCTGCTACCAGGCAGATAACCTTGTTTTTTAAAATCTAGGAATTCCTGGATTTTAAGATAGTAGTTTTAGGCAAGTTCTCTTAACAGTTGTATTCTAGCAAATTGTTCCTTTGCTAAAAAGAAAAAATAAAAAGTCATTCTTGGCTACCCGTCTCAAACTCTATGTTGCTTAGGTCACAGAAGATACTTGCTTAATGTTTTAACACTCCTTAAAGCCCACAATTGCCTAACTTTGCATCCCAGAGATTGCATGACCTAACATAACAAGCTTACCCTCTATAAAAGAATGTCCTGTGTCTTTTCTTTGCTGCTTACTGGCAACCACTGCTAACTTGAGCTTTGCCAAATCCTTCTGTGATCCACTTTAAACCATGAAATGGTAGCTTACCACAACAAAAAGAGAAGTAAAATGTGATGTTTACCGATGAAGTAAGGTCAGTCAAAAACCCTACATATTCAGGAGCAAGTACAAGAGAAGGAGGATCATATTACTGCCTTTTCCAAAAGCAGTGGAAAGGAGGATGAAGTGAATTATGGAGGAGGATGAAGCTTTATAAGGGAGGGGGAGACAGAGAGAGACCAAGAGCTTTCTGTTGGTTACAAGCTCTTAAGCTGAATGCTGACTCAACTGCTGGAGGAACAGCAGACTGAGCCTGCTTCACAGATTACGTTTTACTCTCTATCACCCTGTAGGTTTAACTTCAAAGTTTTTCTTGTCCTTAACTGCACCTTATGCTGTTATTTTAAGGTGATTCATACGGTACACTTTTCGTTGTTCAGTCATACAAGCTTCATTGTATATTATCACAAGAAGTCCATAATACAACATTTTACCAGTATTTTACATATTACTTTTTCATTAAAAAGAAGAGGTTTCAGGTAAACTAATTTGCCACTGGTATCGCAAGGTACTACTGATGAAACTGTTTTTTCTAACTGTGGATTGTGTCACTATTTTTAAGTGTTACGGTGGAACCTTTATCTGACCTTTGGTGATATCCCGTCAAGAACAAGTCTGTCTATACATGTATCCTTCAGGGATGTGAAAGGTGTTTTAATGGAAACAGTAGCAGCACTAGATGAAACAAAAGTAAAGGTTATTTTTCACAGCTTGAGAGCAGAAGCAGAAACTGTGATGTTCTTTTTGTTAGCAAAGACAAGCTCTTGCAGATTTGGCAGAATGAATGACACAGATCTCTTTTTGACTGAAAAAGCTCTGTACCAGTAATTCTGTTGTATTGTGAACAATTCATGAAGCCTTTCTTGAATTTCAGATCACTCATTCTGTCACTTGAAATCAGTTAAAGAGTCAGCTAATAATAAAGGCTTTGCTTGAATAATGTATGACTCAGCCTTAACATTTCTACCCTGGTCACAGCCTATAGAGAAACAAAAGCTTTTAAATCTTCTCATCCTTACAGTGGCAGGTAAGGATATCTTCTGTAACAGATACTTCAAAATGGATATGAACCCTAAGTTTACTTTCAATTTAGTGATTGGAAAGACTTTGAATAATTTCAGTTGCAATGATGTGCTCTTCCTCTTTTCACCAGGAACTCAGCTTTTTCTTTTTCTTTCCTTTAAGAAGTAGAAAATGCTTTTGGTATGAAATTAAATCAATTTAGTTAAGCAAAGCTGAGGATCAAACTTGAGTAAGACTATATAAGCGGGCAGAAAACTGTCAGTTAAGTAAGGTTACATATGCCTTCTGTTTTTATGTATCCCACCTGTTGTGCCTCTTACTGTTTCTGTGGTGATCTGTGTGTTTGCTTCCGTCACRCAACCCTACGCCTCTACTGTTAGTCATCACCTAATTCGCACAGAAACTGTGATGAATGAAAAAAATGAAAAGACAAAAAAATATGTCCCTCAGTACTACTGAGATTTCATTGCAGAGGAGAGGAGCTAGAAAGATCTTTGAGGGGAATACCAGACTTTAACAAAGCTGAGAAAATCCCTCTTTCAAAAAGAGGGCAGCATTTTACATCAGGCTTCAACCTGTCAATTAAGGATAAATGTACACGCTATATATCACAGCTAAAGTACATTAACAGGTAAACCTAGAAAGGGGAACAGGAAAGAATAGTGTAGGAAGGAAAAAAGGTATTTGGCAAATACAGATAAACAGCCTGATGAATTTAATTCTTGACTTACACACGGGACCTGCACAACTTGGAGACTGGCTTACTGGAAATACTGTTATTAAAGAAAACGCAATAGGGACAACAATTTTATGGTAGAAGTTGTGTTACCCCTCCTTCCATGGCTGTTTTTGTTTCATTCTTTGGTTTCTTCATTGTCCTGGTTTTGCTCCGTCCAGTTTTTTTGGTGGTGGGGGGATGGGACCAAGAAACCACGAAGATGGCTCCTGTGCGAAAGTTCTAGAAGCTTTCCCCTTCTCCAGCAAAAGGACCCATATCCTCTGTGTTTTAGAACCAATCCATTATGGCTCTGAGGTTGATGGACAGGCTGCTGGCCAGGCCTGGGCCAATTGCACAGGTTGGTTACACCTCTGTGATGACATATTATCTTGTACTTAAGAAGAATTCAAAACAAGATAGAGCGTGGCCACCATTTAGTTTTTAGGTTGTTAGTATCATGTACTGGGGGAGGACAGAGCAGAAGGGTGAGGAGATGTGGGAAAAAAAATGGAGATAAAAGGTGAAAGAGAGTTGAAGGAAAGGAGCTGTGGTGCTTGAACTGGAGAAAACAAGCTGTTCTCAAATGGACTATTTCTTCAATGGGAGACRTGTATAGAAAAGGGAGGCCATGCACCTGAGATAAAAAACTTGGCCTTGGAGGACTGGACTGATCATAAGCCAAAAAGGGGGAAGAGGTGATCCCCCCAGCATGTGAAGCAAATTGATGCTTTGAAGAAACTGTGTTCTGCCAGGAGATTTGAGAGAGTAGCCTTACACCACCCACATAATGTAACCGGCCTTGGAGGAGTGTTTTGCTTTCTCCTACGAAGTAAAGAAAAAGAACTCCTTGCCATCAGCAGTTATACACTGACTGTTTCTCGCTAAATGAACTTCCACAGCTTGGAGCTGTAAGGATTCTTCTCCTATGATGCTGGATGACAACCGTAATGAGTAGTTTGATCTGTATTAAAACTTTCATCCCTGCCCCCTTGTGCKCAGGAAGGCATGGAGGGGTGGGGAGGGACRACCTGGGAGAGGCAGGTTCACAGAAARAATAACAGGTGTCTTAAAATGCCCATTTTTATTTCTTCTCCTTGTAAATGTTTCCCTATCTTTGTCCCCCTCCCCAGTGTGGTAGTATTCTTAGTAGTTTTTAGTAATAGTCTATTTTGCAACTTAAGTTATTCAGCCTGTCTGGCTTTTTCTGGGGCATATTTATATCTTTCTCTCAATTATGTTATATTATCTAAAAGCCATAAATTTTGGTGTTAATTGGGCTTTTTGCTCTCCCCTCTGCCTCTCCAGTGGGTTGGGGGGCGGGGGGGGGGGAATACCATCATGGGTGCTTTGGCGTTCGGCTAAGGTCTAAACTGTGACATTCATAGAGTCCACATAAGAATAGTGAGTCTCCTGATTTTGTTTCTCCACACTTGTGCTCTTTTCTATGCTCTTACATCTTGCATAAGTGACACGTGTAAGTAATAACACATATCTACCAGTCTTTAAATAGAACACTGAGATTGTAGCACATCAATTACACAATCCTTCCTTTCCCCTTCAAAGCTATAAACAGCATGTTATTTAAACAAAGCCAAAAAGCAAAAACTCTCCCCATGGAATTGATCGTTTATTTTTGTAGTCCAAAACACAAGCTATCACTTTTAGGTACTATTTTAAGGAAATACATGTTGTTATCATAAAACATAAACTGAAAATACAACAATGAATGATATGAATTTCTTACATGAACCACATGTAGTATGCATACTTGATTTTCTTGTAAGAATCAATTCTTGCCTTTTTTGCATGACTGTACAGATACCTATCACTTTGGTTAGTGCAGGTATCATTCTGCCCTCAGCTATGTTTATACATGTCAGTGGGACGCACACATTTTAATTATAATGACATAACTGCAAATTTGTCTTCATGGTGAGCAATAAATGCAATACATGATGCTAAACAGTTAGGATAAAAGAAAGAGGTAGGCCATGCATTTATTACCCAGAACTGTTGGGATTATGAAAAGGAGGAGCAATAGAATATCAAGTGACCAAAGAGTTAGTAATGATCAAGTAACCAAAGACTTAGTAACTATAAACACTTGAATTAATGATACTTGGGCATGATTCCTTTTGTCCTTTGCAAACTTCCTGAATGCTGTACTGTTGAACCATTACATATTCTCAACACCGGGCTTTTCTAGTATCCATATACTAAAAATTGAAGAGCACTTACCTCAGTTTATTTACTGTATAACAAAGCTCCAAATTTTTATGTGTTTTGGCCATACTGTGACCATTACATCTCAAAGAAATAACAGACTATCTGACTTCTCTAGTAGAGGTTCTATGACAGCAGTAATTTATTCTAAAGCATGCATACATGTTTAAACATCCAAGAAATTTCTGTACAGGAAGCCTGATATATATATATAGGAAATAAAGGAATATTTGTTCTGTTGAAAAGAAAGATAAGGAGAGGCGATATCTATCCTGTAAAAGACAGTCAAAAGACCTTGAGCTCAGACCTTCAAAGTTTTGTGTGGTTTTTCCTTAGGATAATCTCCTTCCTAGTATGAAATCTTTTTGCTACTGGCTGAGTTTCTCTTGGGAAAAAAAATCAGAATCTGCACACTGCCTTAGTTTAATCAGTTCTATAGCTTGTTTGATAAATTCTGATCAAGGTACCAACACCCACATTATTGTTTATAAGCAACAGGTTGCCAAGAATAGTCTGCATGTCATTCTATTTGAATCTCTACTGCCTCCTAAGTAAGAACTTGAACTGGTGAAATCTCATGGGAAGTTTAAAAACCTTACAAACAACTTGTCCAATAGGTAAGAGGACTAGAAATGGGAAATATTACATCCAAATGGAAACTATTACCCTCAGAAGTGAGCTTCAAGACACAGCAAGAACACCAGACATGTACATTTAGGTGTTAAGCAAAGATTATAAGGGTAGCACTCTTTGTACACAACAAACTTCATTATTTTTTTAATATAGTCACCCAGATGATAAAAACTAAAAAGATGGAGAAATAAAAAAGCTATATACAGCAGCATCACAATATATTCCATAATGGTGAAATTATGTGTGTCTCTTTCCTTCCTAGGGATAAATTTATGCACATTGCCTACACTTAAGTATCATTCTCTGTAAGTGACAAAATCAAAAATCAAAGGAAAGTATAGGTTCATTATACTCCTTTGAAAATGGCATGATTTGTCAGAATATAGAATAAATAGGCTGCAAAGTCACCTAGCCTAACATCCTACTCAAGGAAGAGGCAACTTGCATCAGACTGCTCAGGGCTATTTATCAGTATCTCCAAGAATGGGTACTCCACAGCCCCTTTGGGTACCTGTCTAGTGTGCAGCTACCTTCTTGGTGAAAAAGCAATTAACACACAACATGTATTTCCCTCATTTCATGATGCCCTTGTGATGCTTCTAGGTGTTGTCCATACTAAATATTTAATACAAAAAAGCAATGGCCTATCATACAGCTTTTGCCTACATGCATTTTTTTCAAAGAATGTCACAAAAGCTTGGAACAGTGATCTAGTTACTGTGTTTCTCTCCACATGTTTACAAGACAAAAATCCCTCTATTTGGCAAGGACAGGATAGGTACCATGACTCTCTGTGGTTGAGTTGAGTTGAGTTGAGTTGATGTCTATCAAAAGAACTGCCAGAGACGAACTAAGCTGTAACTCCTTTTATCCAACTTTAGACATTTAATAGTTTGATGTTTAGTTTAAGTTATTAATGTAGATTCCATCCAGAGGCAAAAGAGAGAGACAAGACATGTCAGGGTTACTCAGGTCACTTCAAGCTATTTACTTTCAGCAGTTCAGAAGATGGTTKGACAACTGTAGCCTATGCTAGGAAATTAAGTACAGTCTGTCTTAAAAAATGATTTATTTCAACAGCTACTGTAATCTTGTTCTACAATGGCTCTCTCTCTTCCTGATTTACTTTTGACTTGAGAAAATAATTGAGAAGTTTAGTAAGCAGTTTTAAATCTCTCATTCTTACTTTCAAAATAAAAATATCCCTGGCTTTAGCAATATCTACATCTAGATGTGAGAAGTACACTGCAGGATCTTTTAGCATGGCAGAAAATTCAAAAGTTTCATTACAAGACCTCTATTACAGTTCATTACAGAACTTTGTCTTGTCTTTACCTGTTTTTTTTATTGATGAGATACTGTCTGGGGAAAGCGTAGTTACAATCAGCACAGACACAGCCCTAATCAGCATGTGCCATCATTGAGCAATGAGGTTACTAAGTAAACTCTTCAGTAAATTATCAGCACTTATACATCTTCCTTTGAGTAGTCAACTAATCAAGTATGAAATTATTAGAAATATGCATTTTCACTGAAGCAAGGACATCCTCTTTCAGTTCCAAACCTAGTACCTGCTTTTAATAAAGGTGGGCGTCTTTTTAACCATATTTATCTACCTTTTGCTATGGTAGTGTTATAGGCATGGTACTCCCCAATTTAGTGCTATCACTGACACTTTCCCAAACCAGAGACCACTCTCTCTTCACCTCTTCCCCTCTTCCTTCCTGCTGGAGCAGGATGGAGTTGAGATCTGGAGGCACAAAAGGTGAAGATCACAAGCCAAGATAAGAACAAATGACTGGAAGCAGCAATGAGATAAGAAAACAAATAGTAACAGCAGCACTGTTAATAACCTATCTTGCCTAACAAATATGTCTAATAACATTACTAAGTTTGCCTGCTTATCTGACTGACAGCTAGAACTTTGGGGACTATTTTTAGAAAAAAAAAAATCAGTCTTCTAAATGGTGAGGACATTTGTGATACATACCTGATAAGGGACATTTCTGTAAGAATGATAATAAGCAGAAACAGAACTCTTTTTTGGTAACTGAAAACCTACATACACATACATTTTACAGTCTGAGGCTTTTTGTGGTTTAACTTCAAACATCAACTAAGTCCCACAGAGCTGCTTACTTGCATACCCCTGGTAGAATGGGGAAAACTACAGAAAGGGTGAAAGTGAGAAAACTTATGAGTTGAGGTACAGTTTAACAAGTAATACAAAAGCCATGCATGTAAGCAAAGCAAAACAAGGAATTAATTCATCACTCCCCTTGGGTAGGCAGGTGTTCAGCCATCCCCAGGAAAACATGGCTATCTCACATGTAGCTGTGACTCAGGAAGACAAACACCATCACTTCAAATGTCCTCCCCTTGCTTCATCCTCCTCCCTCTTTAACTGCTGAGCATGACGCCATATGGTCCCAGATATCCCTTGGGTCAGTTGGAGTCAGCTCTCCTGGTTGTGTCCCCTCCTAAATCCTTGTGCCTGCCCCCAGCCTCCTCACTGGTGGGGTGGGATGAGGAGCAGAAAAGGTCTTGACCCTGTGTGAGCTCTGCTCAGCAACAGCTAAAACATCCCTGTATTATCAGCACTGTTTCCAGTGCAAATCTAAAACATTGCTCCATGATAGTTACTATGAAGAAAATTAACTCCACCCCAACCAAAACCAGGACAGTGTTTTGTCTTTCATGAATATGCAAGCATGCTTCAAAAGACTGTTCTTTTCCTAAAAAAATGAGTATCTGTGTATTTTATGCAATTCAGTACCTTTCCGATGAAACTGCAGTGATCCTAGCAGACACATGGACTTTAGCATTTCTGTTGTGTACATTTCTAAGCAACACTGCAACTGGATGTATAGTCTACAGATTTCAGGATGAATTTCGCCATCTTCTGGGCTGCAATAAAAGAGAAAAATGTAGTTAGGAATGAAACTAGAGAGATTTGAGAGTCATAAAATCCACTTCCTTATTGTTGCAAGCACCCACATCAGAATCTGCTTCATAAACTATTAAGCTTTTTCTACCAAACTGTATTTACAAACAATTCTTTAGATTAGTGAAATTCTAGTCTTAACACAGCTAAACTTGGGCTGTCTTTGGCAAGACTGCCCAAGTTTAGCTGTGTTAAGACTAGAATTTTACTAATCTAAAGAATTGAGTAAGAATTTTACTAATCTAAAGAATTGGTAAGACTGCATATCCTTATTGACTCCTTTGTTTTCAGAAAACGGGTAAATAAGTGTCTGAGACATCTTCTCTTCTTTAAAAGCTTTGGACAAGTATTTTCCGTGAAATTGAAGTATTCTTTTGCCATCCAGTTTCAGTTACCATTGGTCTTGACACAGATGCAGGAGATTGCAGGGCCATTTCCACAGTCCCTGTTCAAGTTACAAATCCTGTACCAAGCATAATCAACCCTATTTTGAAGACACTCTCATCAGAAACAAATCAATTTTAGCCTACTTGTTCTATATATTCTGCCTAAATTTTCCCCCTGTATTTAAATTACTAGTGATGTGATACTGCACTGTGAGAATGGGATGCACAAGACTTTTCAGAAAAGTAGTAAAAATCTTCAAAACAAAAACTGAAATCTTACACCTCCAATTAATTGCTTAGGATACCAAGAAAATAATTTACCCAGACCCAGGAACTAACTCTCATGCCTGGCTGTAAAATCAGACATTAAGTATCACTTTTTGTAGGCTGGAATCACAGTAGGGATAAGCTGTACAATCAGAAATGCTTAAATAAGAAAAAAATTAGGCTAGAAAAGAAAAATAACCCCACAAAAACAAGGTTGAAAAAGACTAAAGACTGAAAAGAAATCATGCTGGACTTAGTCAGATGAGACAAAGGAAGGCTGGTTCCATCTGCCAATCCATTACAAAGCAGACAACATCAAAGAGTCAGGAAATTATTGGAGCCTAAATTACAATTGCTGTGGTCTGTTACTACAGGAGCTACACCAAGCACAGAGTAATAAAACTGCCCATCTCCTAGGATTATTTCTTTCGGCTAGACTATAATTTCCGTTAATAATTTCTGTCCATTTCTGTTAAGCCACATCTACTTTTCTAGTTCTGAAGTCTGGATTTGTTGAAAAAATATACCATGCACAATATTTTCTGCATTTTATCATACATAATAAAGCTATGGTGCAGAACAAAAAGGGTTCAACCACAATTCTGCTTCCCCTCCATACTGTGTGCATAACTTACTGTTGCAGCCCTTTTCTCAGTGAGCACACCGTTACATATTATGAGGGATTATGAAAAGCTTTAGGAGTGTAGAGTTCCATTTACTTTCCATATTTAGGATCCAGGTCCAACATTTAAGTCTGCTTACCTCATGTAACACCTAAGTCCTGAAGCCCCACCAATATACAAACAGGCATATTCAGTTTCTGTTTAAGCTTCTCAGATGTCTGAACATCTCACTGTGACCAAGGTTTTTTCTGTCCTGAAGCCATTAATTTCTCTAGTCCACCTGAAGGGGATTCCCCCATACATATTTTTRCACAAAATGGAACCTGCGAAAAATTTCAGCTGCCAGAGATGGTCATGATGACTTTTATCCACTCAGTGATGAGAGCTCTGTCTGACGGGGAGATACAGTCTGCTTCTCTCTCTCGTGCAAGTCTAGCCGCATCTGTCTAGCTCTTCTAAAAACCAGAATTATTTAGCCACAAGTCTACCCCTAAGAGAAATAGTCATTATGTTGTGACAAGGTAATTTCCTTGTAGCAGAGTTACATAAAACTTAATTCTGGATGTTCTATTTTTCTCTGCACTATTTCAGATGTTAGAAATCCTCAGCCCTCTCAAAAGTCATGGCTATTACAGGAACTTTGTTTGCAATGTTTATTTACAGTTTACAATGTTCATTTCTAGCTGTCGCTGGCAAAAAGATTTCAGGGTCAGCACACCTGCTTTCAGGTGTAATCAAACAATGTTTTCCTTTTACAACTGTTAAATTTCTATTAAGCAAAAATGGTGAAAACTTTTCGTTAAAACATTTTTGCTCTTAGTGACAGAATTTTTAATTGTGCAGAGTAGGATGGTGGCAATTATATATAAAATGCTTAACTCATGAGCTAATTGAGATTTATTAGTGGCTTCCTATTTTACAAATGAGTTGGAAGAGCAGTCAAAAGCACAGTAATAGGCATTTTAAATGACTTTTTTGCTGTCATGAACCTAATGTGATTTTTTTGCAAACTATGTTTATAAACAATATGAGAATAAGAACTAGAAACTTTAATAATATATGCAAGTTCTGACTCATTCCCTATTTTTCAAGAGTATGGAACATTTGTAATTGGGACTATGGGCAAAATTCTTCTCATTTRTGAATCCAGAGTAAATGCAGTGATATCCAAGAAAAATAATGCACAAAGTTTATACAATAAGAATTATTTCCAGCCCAGTACCCTCACTGATCATCTCAAACTATTTAATTAGTGTTTAATTGCAATAATGACCACAACAATCTCCTTAGATTGCAACCAATTTTCTTCTGTAAGCCTCACTTTCATTTCTGAAAGCCAAATGTTCTGATGTGAATGCCCACAAAGATTTCTTTTAAAATCCCTGAATTCTGTGTGGAGGGCTTAACATTTCCCTCTTAAGTGTTGTCAGTTTTCCTGTTTCTGTGTGTTCAGTGTCATGCCATGAGAAATGCTGAATGGGGGACTAGTATAGGCATAAATTTGAGAATGCTGGTTATTATATGCTTATTATTAAAAAATAATTATTATCTAATAGTTATATACCATATTAATATTGATATACAACGAAAAGTTAATGCAAACTTCCAAGTGTTATCCCCTCAAGTCAGTAAGACAAGCTGACTTTTTTAATGAAGACTACTTAAGCTCTCCAAGAGAAATATCATATAATACAATCTTATACAATGCTGTGCTAAATTTTGTTTGCAACAGAGCTATTTAATAGCTTATATGCAGCTGGATATATGAGACCCAGCACAGCACTGAGCAGCTGCCCAAGAGACACAGACCAGCAGACCAGGACCTCATTGTTGGCTGTATAAAATGCAGCTACCAACGTGAAAATGCTGCTTTTCTCCTATACAAAACAATAGCCTAAGTTATACAGTTTATCTGGCTGCTATTAAAAGTATAATTTTTTGTAAAAATAAACTTAAGTAACTCTATAAAATCTGTAGTAAATCTATTACATTCTTATGCTTTAACCATTGGTAAAATCGATGGCTTTCTTCCCATAAAATCCTACTTTTTAAAAATCATGTAACGTTGTTCAACTGAAGATGTTTATAAAGCACTGCCAAGAAGTGGAATTTACTTTCCTTTGAATTTTCGTAAGCTGAGATTTAAAATAAAACCTATAGAGGGAGCTCTTACACCAACCATATAGGAGCCGGTATCATTAAGAGAGATGAATGCAGCTATTTTGGTAATTATTTTAAAATACATGAATAAACATGATTAAAATGTGCCTCCTTAAGCACAAAAGAAGAGAGTAAAAATTCCCTAAAAAAAATTATTTTMCCCCCAAAATAGCTGTCAGATTTTATTGTACTTCCCAAAGGTTGGTTACAACTGAGAAACACCTCGAGATTTTCCTCAATTTTCTCCAGTGCCCAGCATTCAGTTGCACTGAAATTAGTGAAACTTAAGACTCCTAAAATGGAAAAATTATTATGGTCTAATTTTGAATTTAACTGAAAAATTTTAGTCACATGTTTACAACGAAACAGCGTTTTACTTTTACTACTAACAACATTAAAAAATACAGGCAGATGTACTATCTCTGGTTAAAAGAGTAGCTAAGCTATCTGAAGGGCTTGATAAACTTTTTTGTAAAAGCATTGTTTTAAAAAATTCTATGGTTAACTCTAAGGGAAAGTGTTAGTAGTTCTAAAATATTATAAGCTGAACTATATAGACACATAATGAAGATAGTTTGTCTTCAAAAGCCAAAGGAAAATGAGTATTTGCCAAGTGAAAATTAAATCATCAAGTTCCGTCCTATGCTCCATATATGTAGTTCCCATTAAAAATAATGTAAATTGGCTTGATGAGTTGTGAAAAATTACTGTCCACAAATATTACCCTGTAGATTGTATTTTAWGTTAGTACCTGAAACACTATGGTTTAGAAATATATAGCAGTAGAAAGATGACGAAGATGAAAAACAAAATCAGGAAACAAAACCTAGCTCAGACATATGGTGCTTCTGTTGGGATGAAAAGTGTGACAAATATTGCAGGGGAGATACACTTAATCCCCTTATACACCGAGTACACAAAGCCCCTCTGATTATGGCTCTTGTGCAAGAGCCCACTAAACCTGYCTGTGCTTTTGTAGCTTAAACAGATTGCTTATTTATCATGTAATCATATATCTTTGAAGGTAACAAAAGACTGGCTGATTCATTTTGAATATAGGCAGAAAAGCCATCCAACAATGACGTTTTCTTCTAAACAGTTCCTGGAAAAATATTTGTATTTGTGTTCCTCTCATTTGCTGGGGTTATTTTTTAAAAAAATGCTCACAAACTGCTGTCAGTTTCAGTGCCATGTGTTGGTTTTCTGTTCTCTACTTATGCAATACCATCATACAATTGCTATAGCACACCCCAGGCTAGCCAGGAAAAAAGCAGGGCTTGTTCTTTCCAGCAGACCCATAAATGACTGCAAAGCTGTTCTTATTAAATCACATTGTTGTTTTGAAGCAGTTACAACAGCACTCTTAATAACCGAAGACATGCAATCAGGTTTAGTTTTGTCAGACCAGGGTAAACTCCCAATAACTCTGATAAGGTTGATGGGAGTCAAACTGAGTATATGATACAACCAGCAGAATAAACCCATAACGCAGTGACTCATATAGTAAGAGATATTTTAACTCCCAGG